GGACCAGAATACTCCGGACATGCAGCCCTGAAGATCACCTGCTCATCACCTGTTCTCCACCAACTACTAAGCCACGGATTATCCGACAGAGGGGGATTGTCGGGAGGAAGACATGGCACGGTATTCGGGATCTTGATAGAATTTGGATGACCGATGGGGATCCCCGAACAACGCACGTTGTTGAGAGAGTTAGAAAGGAATTGACGGAACCTACCTACCCATCATCCCCCCAGGTTCCGGTCCGTCCTACATGACTGATGAATGGCCCCACCAGATATAGTCGGGAGGCGAATGGAGCAAAATAGCCGACCTGTAAGAGGATAGGGATAAAGGGTGATAAAGTCATACAAGTGTTTCCACCCCACCGAGTGTCCATAGTATGTCCTCCTCCATATTGGAGAGGAAGGACAGTGCACGCAACTCCCTCCCATACTGGTCGGGGGGAAGGCTTGGTTCCACTGTCCTAGACCGTTCGATCGCCTATTTAAAGTTGGTAAGTTAAAAAAAAAAAAAAAAACCCAGGGTTGGTATTTACCACTAGCCATGGGTGTTGCTCCATTTAGTCCATCTGGTCCATCTGGTGCATCTCCAATGGGGGCACATTCAACCCTGACCTTTTCCGGGTACGGCGGCAACTAGTATGTCAAAGCACGACTTATCATCGTGTCTAACGGTCATGACGGGAACATGGCTGAATCAAACTTTTCTAGTGGTTTTATTTTTATTTTTACTTTGATTTATTTCTATTTAATATAATTTCATTTATTCAATTGAATTTTTTTAGATTTTCTTTAAAAAACCTTTTCTATTCTTCATTATCACCCATCGTTATCACCACTCATGATTAGAATTGTTATCATTCTTGACCATGTTCTTCGGGTAATGTGGATAGCAATTCTATTGTCATAATCAATTATGTACTGTCACCTCATTAGTATACTGGATACTGTCTAGTGGTCGCTTTATCAGGTTGATGTATGCCTAGAGAGTAGTCACTAGCGTTAAAAAGAATCTACAATCCTGCAGGTGTTAAACAGAAATTTCTCGTTCTTCTCTTTTCTCATGCAGCTTGGAGATCCGAGATTCCTTGCCTAGATTGCCCCGTTCGCGCCATTGATAATGCATTTCTAGTTCGCCCCTTCCCTTTTTTTTTTTTTTTCTTCCTTTCTTATCAGAGTAGAAACCCCCCCATGCATTACCTACATATCACCCCACCTCGCTCCACTGTTGGCCGGAAATCTTGTTTACTGGCATAGCTGCCTTCTATTGCATTGACCCTAGGTCTCTAGTCTCCAGTCCCCCATCTCCAGTTATATGCCATATCCCTCCTTCCCTCCGTGAAAGATCTATACGGACAGATCTTCCCTCCTCACCTCTGTGTATAACTCTTCCTTTGTCGACTGATCTATCTTTCTTTTTCTGTCTATTTTATTTTCTTGTTTTTATTTTTTTTATTATTCATCTTCCTACACTCTTCTCCCTTCCCTACTACTCCGCCACTCATCTACTTGACTCTCATTCCTCTTCTCTCACACCATTGACTTCATCTTGGTCAATGTCACAGCTTCACTAGATGTCCATCCTACAAGGTACGTTCCACACTACAGTCATTTCCAATCGAGACCATATCCTTTTTCATCAGCCACTGCCTCTCCTTTCATTCATCGCGGAGTGCAAATTTTCGGCTTCAGACTCGATCTCCCCCCCTATGTGTAACCTGTCGAGGATTCTCTATGCTGGTTGTCATACTTCTCTCATTTCCTCCTCTCACTGTGGGGTCAAGTGTTCCTTCAATTTGTCAATATCAGCGGCTCCCAACATCATACCACCCCTCCGGTTCTCTTGACAATGGCTCCAAGCTAGCTTGCTGACAGAAAAAAAAAAGACTTTACAAATCGGAGCAACATCTACGGATTGCTCGTCATTTAGTCGCCTTGATCGATCCGAGAAGCAGTTTGGTCTTTGCCACATCGAACTTACTAGCCCTTCCTCTCGAAAGTATTCCGACCGGATGCCATACACAGCTCCGCTTAAGTTGTCGCCGCCCATGCAGCACATTGAAGCCTGCAAACCGTCCTCTCAGTCCTGGCCAGGGTCGCCCACCGTGGATTCCAAACATTCCCGGCTCCATCTCCCTCGCTCTTACTCCTCCACCGCCTATCTGCGGAAACACCGGAGAAGTCCGTCTCACAGTAAGGTACTGGCTTCCCCCGATCACGCCATCGATCATGGAGTCGACTCTCTATCAAGCATCCGGCAGTCCCCGCCGCCGATAACCGATGCTTCCATGCCCCCCGGTGCCTTGATTTCGCCCCCGGAATCTCCATCGAACTCGAGTGATGAGGAGTTCGCCTCCCCTCGTCAACAGAAGGTCCAAATGATGGAGCTCAAGGAGGCAGTGAGGTCGATTGAACAGAGACGGGTCCCCTCCCCGGAGAGAGAGCCACAGCAAATCAACCTGTCGTCGAGCACGATAGCAACCCAAAATGACACCAGGAGCCCCTCTCACCCGCCCCTCTCCAGGGAAGCCCGCAAAATCTCTCACTCGAGGTCCGTCACGGAAACGTCCATCGTTCACCACCAAGAACAAGCGGTGACAAGCTCGCCGGATGATAGTGAAAGGGAGGATGAGCCTCGAGTGAAGCAGCCAATGCTACGCAAGAAGTCAGGAGAGCTCGTGAGACCAGCATTACGCACACCTTCTTCCCTACGGCGTCCGTCGAGCATGCCCGGGACACCGACCTTCTCGAAAGCTGTCCATTTCGATGCTCAGCTCGAACACATCCGCCATTTCCTGCAACTCGACAAGCCGCAAGCCGTCAGTGCAAACACGTCCCCCATCGAGGATTATCAAACCGACGAGTTCCCTTTCCCAACCAAAGCCCCACGGGGGCCGTCTTTTGAATGGGAATTGCGGCTGGAGAATTTCCCCAACGATCAGTCCTCTCGAGCTCTGCAGCGGGTTCGACTAGAACGTCTTTTCCTTTCGTCAGACAAAACCACCCTGGTCGGTGTGGTGGCCGTGGCCAACCTGGCCTTTGAAAAGCACGTCGCCGCGCGCTTCACTTTTGACCACTGGAGGACCATCTCCGAGGTGACTGCAGAATTCAACGACGATGTACGTCGAAAGAGGGTTCAAGACGGATATGACCGGTTCTCCTTCAGTATCAAGCTGAACGACCAAACGCATCTGGAACACAAGACGTTGTTCATCTGTGTTCGATACAATGTCTCTGGCCAAGAGCTCTGGGACAACAATGACCACAAGAACTACCAGGTGAACTTTGCTCGCGTGGCAAAGGATTCAAACGTCTCCCAGGGCCTTCCAGTCGCGCGGCCTCGCCCATCACTTCCGCGAAGCAAAACGTTTACCGGCGCTGGCAATCGCCACTCCGGCCCTTCGGCATTCGATGACTTGTCCAAGGGTGGCTACTTCTCGTTTGGTGAACCGCCGCAGGATAAAAACAAAGTGTTGGACGAGGTGGTGCGCGATACCGACGCAGTCACCCCCATTCGGCGCGAAAAACCGGGATCTCAGGCTTTCAGCAACCGCTATGACTTTGGAGCGTCCTTGACTGCTGCGATGCGAACGAAGCCGGTTCATGATCGCACAACATTAACCACGCAAGCAAAGTCTGTTGAACCCTCTGATACGGGGGCACATGATCCCGTTCGGGCGCCAGGTCGGGTCCTCGACAAAGCCTTGCCAGTCAACAAGGTGAATCAAGAGGTTGCCCGCCCAGAGCCTGTGCAGCCTTCCTCTCTTCTATCCAGCAAACCCCACCATGAATCGTCGGTGTATAAAGAGCTCGTGGATCGATATTGTTTCTACGGCTCCCCAGAATACACATCAGGTGGCACCCAGCCCGTCCCCTTCCACGCCAATGACTCCCTGCGGCAGAAAAGGAAAGACAGCCCTGGTTCCCCCAGCATCTCACCTCACTCTTCGGCGTCCTCGTCTCCGAATCACTCTCCGTCCATGGATGCCACTCATCGGGTCCCCACTTTATCCTCTCCGAAGCCGTTCGAGTACCGATATCCGCAAAACAACTTCATGAAAGAAGCACATACACCGACTGTCATTCGAGGATAAATAACCCCATCTCCCGCACGACTGCAATTTCAACATGTTGCACTTGTGTTCAATGTTTTATTATTATCTTTTGTCCGCATTGTGATCTTTCTGATCTTCTAGGCGCAGTGATGGCGGCCAGCGGACGAACTCTCTTCCATCGTCTGCGTTCTGTTTTCCCTTTCTTTTCATGTTCATGCCCTTCCCCCAGACATGGTGCCATGAATGGCAATCCTACGCGATGTATCATAAACCGCGGGGAACACCCATTCAGGGCTTATTCTGGTTCGTTGGGTTGTGACGAGGTAACGGCTGATAAAACGTTTTTGCTCCTTTTTCTTTTTCTTTTTTTTTTTTTTTTCAAGTTCAAAAATTCCTGATGATATGACGATGTTGCTCTGTGAAATTATTTGATGGACCTTGGCCATTGCCATTACGACGGTACCACGTGGATACAATTCGCATGGGCTCCAAACTAAGCAAAAAACACCTCTCACTCTGCTCTCTGTTTCGACTGTTTTTCTGTTGTATTCTGTTTGGCGCATGCATGGAAGGATTGACTGGGGGCTTTCGTCTTACCGGAGTTAAACAAATGTTTCTTGTGTTGATCTACTTGATCATGGGGATTGGTATGATAATGTGAGGCAGAGAGAATGCCAGACTCTAATACATGGGTGCCTGTCACCAATAGCACTGATAAAGGCTTCGACACTACCTGGTACGTAAATTGTAATTGTAGCTTTCATACCAATGGCGTACTCGGTACAATTATGGACATTCCAGATGATCGGTGGACTACAGATGAAATAAATCACAATAATGCCGGTCAAAAGAACGAAGCACGTAGCATGAAAGAAACGGGAAGAGATCCGCTGCCAAGACCACGTGACCGGGCTACCCGTCCGACACGGGGGATCCGGGGCCAAAAGGCCCAGCAGGAGCACTCCCGAGCACCCGCCAAAACACCGCCTTGAAAGCGGCCGTTCATAACGGCCTTTTTCCCAGCCCTGGCCCGCCAATCAACATCCAACATTGCTTTTGATGACCCTTCCAGATCACTGTACGGCTTAGTCACTCAGTCAGGAAAAGGCAAGTAAATTTCATTGCTCCTGCCTGCCCGCCCGCCCTTCTAAAAACCTATTTAAAGCATTTGCCCCTCTCCCATCGTCCACTCTGCTGCTCTTCTTTTTCTCCCCTTGCAACCTCTTTTATCTGGGCACGCGTCAATCTACCACTTTTCGCCGTCCATCCTCCGATCATCGGCTTTTTCATCAAATCTTATCAACTCGTTGATCGTCGAATTCTTATTTATTCTTTGACAAGATGACTGGACGTAAGTATTTCCCTAGTATTTGTCTGTTCCTGATCGATGATGGGGTCGATGATGGGAATGGGGCGCGGGATGCGGTGAGGACGGGGATGGTGTTGTACGGGGGTCGCACGTGACCCCGTGTGTCCACCTCGCGTCCGCGTGTCGTGATCCTATCTCATCCTGTCCCAACCTCACCTGTCTCCATCATCGATGAATAAGACATCCGTCCTGGCTCAACGTTGGCCATGCTTTCTGTCAACTGATGCTAACATCATCGTCTACAGGTGGAAAAGGCGGCAAAGGTCTCGGCAAAGGCGGCGCCAAGCGTCACCGTAAGATCTTGCGAGACAACATCCAGGGTATCACCAAGCCCGCCATCCGTCGTCTCGCTCGCCGTGGTGGTGTCAAGCGTATCTCGGCCATGATCTACGAAGAGACCCGCGGTGTGCTCAAGTCCTTCCTCGAGTCTGTCATCCGTGACGCCGTCACCTACACCGAGCACGCCAAGCGCAAGACTGTCACCTCCCTCGACGTGGTCTACGCCCTCAAGCGCCAGGGCCGTACCCTGTACGGTTTCGGTGGTTAAATCGTCGTCGATGGCTTGCTCTTTGTCTTTGTTCGGTTGGGCTCGTCGCTCTGACGGATTGTCCGCGGGGCGGGGCCCTCTGGACCGGGCTTTAGCGCTATGGTGTGATGTTTCTTATCGTTTTTCTTGTCTACTTGCTTAATGGGGGTTTTTCTTACCAACTGGGAACGGGGTTCGGAATGGTTCTTTTCAACGGATGAACAACAGCACATCTGCTATGGATTCTTAGGGATTTTTTCGGAGGTCCTTTGATGGAAATCATTGGTATCGATACATTTGGTCTAGCTCTAGCTAGTTTCTAAAAATTCAGATGCTGCCAAATACTACTTTCAATACGATGTAGAGTTGTAGATGAGATCGTGGCAATAAAGATGGCCTGATGGAGCCGTCACATGCAGCGACCGGTTCAAGCACGGACCACCCCCGGCCATGACGTTATCCTTCTCGACACAACGATCAACCTCGGCCGACCTGGTCAGCACATCATATTGGCGAATTCCTGCTCTAGCTCTTGATTTCTCGGTCTAAAACCAGCTTTAATTTTTCTCTCTATCCTTATTCTGCCCATTCATTTTTCTTGGTTTTCCCCCTCAAACCCCCATGTCAAACACTGTATAATAGTCCACCCTTTCACGACCCTTGGCTGAGCGTCTTACGAGGAGACCGTCACAATGCCTGAATACCAAATCTCGTACGATTCAGAGCTGGTATGTAGCTCTTCAGATAAACATTCATCATTTCCCATCATAATAACCCTCTAACCACCCCGTCGAGTGTAGGACACATACCAGCTCTACCACCGCTACGAAGAAAGTCCCCCAAAAGACGACTGGCGCACAGCCGCCCTCCGAGGCCCCGCCCTCCCAGCCCTAGGAAACGCAACCGCAGGCGCCGTCGGCTCAGCAATCTCCAACCTCATCACCTACCCCCTCAGCCTCATCATCACGCGCCTCCAGACACAGAACCAGCGATCTAAATCTAATAAGGAGGGGGAAGGGGGCGACGACGATGAAGAGACATACACGGACGTTATCGACGCCGCGCGCAAGATTTACGCAAAAGAAGGCCTCGGCAGTCTGTACGCGGGCTTAGCCCAAGATACGTTCAAAACGGTAGCGGACTCGTTCCTCTTTTTCCTCGCTTATGGCTTCTTCCGAGAACGTCGCATTAAGGCCCGCTCCGGCAGTGGTGACCGTCGCAGCAAGCGTGTTGTGCTACCCGTGCTGGACGAGCTAGCGATAGGGGTGTTGGCGGGTGCGTTCGCGAAGCTATTCACAACGCCGTTGGCGAATATCGTCGCGCGGAAGCAGACGGCACGGTCGAATGCGAGCACGAGGGAGATTGCGGCGCGGATTCGGGCCGAGAAGGGCGTCCGCGGGTTCTGGTCGGGATACTCCGCGTCGTTGATCCTGACGCTTAACCCGTCTATCACGTTCTTCCTTAACGAGTTTCTGAAATACTCCGTGCTGCCTAAGAGTCGGCGCGGAAAGCCTACGCCGGCTATGGTCTTCTTCCTTGCTGCTATCAGCAAGGCTACCGCTTCGTCGGTGACGTATCCGTTTTCTATGGCTAAGACACGAGCACAGGCTACCTCCGCGAGCCAGCCGGCGCCCTCGCCAGGAAAAGAGGAGAAAGAAGACGAAGGAATATCGCTCGTGCCCCCCATCATCTCCAACGTGGTGACCATCGCTCGGACGGAAGGCCTCACCGCGCTGTACAGCGGCCTCACCGGTGAAGTCGCCAAGGGGTTCTTCTCGCACGGCTTCACCATGCTTGCCAAAGACGCCGTCTACGCCGCCATCGTGCAGAGCTACTACCTCCTGCTGATTGTGCTGCGCCGCTACCCCACGCCGGAGGAGCTGATCGAGCGCGCGCGCGAACAGGCGGAGGAGTGGGCTGAGGCTGCGCGCGAGGGCGCGAAGGATCTGGCGGGCTCGGCGAGGCAGGGCGCGGGGGAGGCGCTTGCGAAGAGCTCGGGGAGTGTTGCGGTTGATATGTCGAGTGGTGGTGGAGCTGCGGGGGTGGGGTCGAACGAGACGGCTGAGATGGTGGGGGATTATGTGGAGGATGAGGCTGCTGAGTGGAAGGGGGGGTTGTATCGGTGGTTTGGGGAGAAGGGGACGGGGAAGGTTGGGAAGAATTGATTTTTTGAGTGTGTTTTGGTATGTGTGTGTGTGTATGTGTACTTGTGGATAATGTTGGATTGCTCTGCCTGTTGTTAGCATCTTCGTATAGTGTCTTCTAATTTGTCATTGTAATAAGGTACTAACGTTTATCATAGTTTGCAATCTATTGTAGGGGAGCGTTGCTCAGATGTTTTCTCCTGGCAAGATTAAGACGGGTGATATTCTCTCATGACCGCCACGCCAAAACGCTGACCGGCTTTTGGTATAGGGCTTGACCTGACTGATATCCCCAACATGTTCTCTAGTGAGCTCCACAGAACTTCAGAGATTGTATACCAACAAGAGTAGACAGAGTAGGCCTGTCCAACAGTCATATTCCAAGTATACCGCAAGACCCCCCACAAAATCCATACATTAATCAAACCCAACAGCACATAAACCCCTAAACCAGCATACCCAAAGTAAACACCCAACCCCCAAGACACCACACACATCCTCCTACCGATCTACAAATCAACCAACCCCAACCTCCCAGCCCACCACCCCCACTCCCTCCTCGAGAGCGCAACGACATCATCCAGCCCCTGCAAAACAGCACTCTTCTGCTCTTCAGAAAGCACAATCCCCCTCCCACTACTCCTCGCACACAGATCATCAACGAGGGTCCTCGCATCCCTCACATCGCGCATCTTCTTCACCGCCGTCGGTCGCAGCCCGCAGCTGTTGATCTTGAAGACCAGCAGGTCGATCTCCGAGATATAGGGGAGGGAGTCGGGGCGGGCGGATGATATGGGGATTGCGGCCTGGGGGAGGTAGGGGGACTGTATGCTTTATTAAGTTTCCTCTTTGGATGTTTTGTGATGTGTGTCACACTACAATATGGTAGGTAATGTGGTAGATGAGGAAGGGAGGAATGTAATGGACACACACCTGCCACGAAGGCGTGATATCAACCTGGACAGCCTTCCCACCGAGCCCTACGTAGAAAAATAGCTGCGCATGTTGCTTGAACGGTGTGTCCGGCAGCGCAAGCAGCTTCTCTTTAACGGCGTTAGGGGCACCCTGGACTGTAATTAGGAAGTCGACGTCCTGTGGACGAGGTATACTGGTTGAGATCTGGATCAGCTTGTTTGTTCTTCTATTGGATGATAACGCTCAAAGTGACCAGTCCACTTTGAAGAGGGTGACACCGACCTCCGTGCTCCGGAAGTGCTCGATGTACTTCCATAGGCTGAGACCGCCGATGATTGCGATTTTGGTGTCGGCGAATTCGGGCATGCTTTTTAGGATGAGGATTACGGCGCCGGCGGCTTGTTCTAGTTCGGGGAAAGTGGGGGCGGACATGTTTGGTGTGGTTGATGGGATGGTTGGTGTGGTGCGTTGGGGTGGTGGTATGTAGGTAAGTAGGGGTGGATGGTGATGGTGGGTGTAAATGGTGTGGTCTGGAGAAGCAAGGGAGAGGTCCTATACCTATCTATATCCTATGTGCTGCTCTTTCCACAGAACGTACTGGAGAGTTTGGGCACTGGAACTGGGTTGTACTGTATGTAGCATTGTGCTCTGGTATGTCCTTAAGCATCTGGTTTCTATATTGAACTACTCTTCAGAGCATTCTTCTGCGTGATTATCACTTGCCCTATGTATCTTCATCATTGACAGTCTATTTGATTGTTATCATACAACAAAGCATTGGTATCGTGTCTCATGTACTGCCACTTTCTTAGTAGCTCGGATTAATGGGTTTTGGGTACAGTTGCCCGTTCCTGATCCAACTGCACATACAATCGGTGACCACTAGGAGTCCCGACAACGTTGATGTTGGGCCGACAAACGGTCTATAGAATCGCGTCTGCGACCAGTCTTTTAGTTCGCCGCTCTGTAAGCGGCGACGCCGTTTGGACTTGGGGATGCGCAGCATAGCTGCAACTTCAGAGAACCGGTCATTGGATATGAGCGACACCCATCACAGGTTGTAACTCTGCCAATCCCGAGTGTTCTTCGGGAAATCCACCATCCCTGTTCTGTTTGAATGGCGAAACTCTAACTCAAGCCAAACTACCAGACGCACATCCGTCAATCCGGCCTGATAGAGAAAAGACCCCCTTTCGACAAACCACGACGAAGTGCGTCCAAATGGGTATACATCTTCGGATCCGCCTGACCCAGCGCCCGATAGAAAGGCCGGTACTCCTCTCCCAGCCGGTCTTCATCAAGAAGATCAGTCCCGTCCACAAACTCCAGCATATAAGTCAAGAGAACCACCCAGTAGTCTTCATAGGCACTCCCGTAATCCCGACACAGTAGGAGTATCAAAGCCTCGCAGTATGTGACGGCACTAGGGATCCAGACGGCATCAAGTGCCGACGAGAAGCGGCCTCGGCCTCGGCCCGGAATCGGCGGGGGAAGTCTCCTGTCGCATGCGAGCATAACGTTTGGGTCCGCGTCGCGTGATAGATCGATGTCTCCTAGGTCAGGAATCGCCCATAGCATGTCCGATTTCCGATGCAAGGACACGGCGAGGTTGTCGTCGATGTGTAGGTGGCTGGTGGGTGGAGGACAGCGGCGGGTGTGGGGCCGAGCGCAGTTGAAGTTCGGCGCGCAGGGAATAAACCCCATGTCTGTCAGGGTGGAGTAGGCGGTTTCTATGAGTGTGTCGGGGACAATGAACGCAGCGTCCTGTGGGCAGTAGAAGTTAGCAACGTTTCTAGGATAGCGGGACTGATGTGTTGGTGGGATACGGACGTCCACTATGGTAGGTACTCCGTAGACGGTTAAAAGATAGTTTCCCCAGAGCAAATTGGGGATGCCTGCTGTGCGTAAGGCGTGCGATGTCGACGCAACGAGGTCATTATTGAGTGGTTGCCCACCGAAGTGGAAATCCGTCATTGTGGAGGATTTACTCGGAGAGAGAGAAGAGGGTCAAGCTTGTTTGTTTGGGTGAGATAAGGCGTGTCGGTGCCGCTCACGTGATTGACTCGATACCAAGGTATATCAGGAATCTACATGGCCCTGATTCGAGATGAGGATGCACATAACGGTGGAGCACAGAAAGTGTCATTCTTGTCGTCAATTAATCTCAGATCCTTCGTGATCACCAACTAATATGCTAGCGTCACCCCACCATTTGGGCATGTCGGCCCCACCAAACATGATAGTGTGGATCCGGATAGCCTTCAGATATGGCGTCGTATTGACAGATCGGACATCACTAGATACCAGTATTGAAAGGAGTGATGTAAATTGCATGCACAAAGAAGAATGGAATGTACACCACCCCAATTCCCAATATATTAGATAGAAAAAAAGAAAAGGTATCATTTCTCCCCCGACCCCTTGCCAGCCTTGTACCACCCTCTCCGGATGGCGAGTTCCTCCAAATTTACAGTCTGTCCGAGGTCGCAGGCCCGACGGGACTCTTCCCAGATCACCTGCGCGATGGGACATCGTCGGAAATGCTTGATGAAGTCCTCCTCCGAATATACGACGCCGTCTAAGTGGTAATACTTGTCTCCCAATTCCGACGGTTCGTTATCCTCGACATATGCCTTGAACCCCACCGCGCAACCTATGCAAGCCACCCCGTACTCGACATGACCGCTAGCCCGATCTACATAAGGGAGGAACGTAGAGCTCCCACGCCGCAGCGGATGCGGGTCCTCAGTGAAGGCAAAATCCAGCAGCAATCTGATCTTATCAATGTAACCGCAGCCGTGGGGCCCGGAGATATGTCCTTCTGCTACGATGTGAATGGGATGTCTACGCCAAATTTCCCCCGGTGAGGCTTTTATCCATTCCGGTATCCGCAATTTCGGCACGCCTTCTAGGTCCTCCGCGGTGAGGGAGTAGTGCATGGTGATCTCATCCACGGTGGCCGCTTCCAGCTGGGGCAGGTGGGACAGGCACAGGTAGCAGCATCGCGTGAAGGAGGTGAGGAAGACGTACCCACCGAAGCGGCTGCAGAAGGTGCAGTCGCGCTGGTACAGCAGGCCGAGGAGATCGCGCAGCGTGTACCATCGTAAAGCCCCGCGGTAGAGGGCATGGGATGATTCGCGATCGCGTCATGATGTCCCTTGTGCGATGGTCTCTCCAGTCCGTTGGACTTTGCGGTGATGTGCAGAATTGAAGAAATATAGTGGGATTTCCCCACATGACCGTCCGATGGAGAGGGGGCCCACTTCCTGCTGGTCTCGTCGCGTCCTTACTGTAACATTGCGACAACACAAAACGGTGGTGTTTAATTCAACGAGTATAACGCTTCAGACGAATCGAAAATATGCTGAGCGGGCTAACCAGCGATGATGTTGTCCGATCAGAAACAGGGAAATACGGATCAATTTACGTTGGGTCCACATTGCCAGATCTTTCTCCACTGTTGGCCCGATTACACTTGGCCGTATCAATCAATGACGTTTCGGGAGAAACGATTACTACTCGGTGTACTTCGTGCAGAACAGCGTCTTGAATCCATGTTCATCGGAAGAAAGCTTTTCGAGAAGTGTATTATCCCAGTCGCGGCGTTTTAGAGTAGGATATATATATGTGTAGGGTAAGCATAATTAAGGCAGAGTACTAACACACGATCAAATCAATAAGCCCATGAATCATCCCATCGTCAACAGCGTAAAGTCCGGATTATGAGTAAAGGTGTAATCGCCGCCCGCCCGGAAGAAAGAGACAGAGAGAGACAAAATTAAGTTAAAAGACAAAAACATAAATGGAAAAAAAAAAAGCCAAAGGAAGAGAGACAGAGAGAGGGGGGGAGAAAAACCAGGCGAGAGGGGGTAAAATCCAAATCTACATCCCAAGAACAGCAAAGATAAACATGACCCCAGAGATATTCCACCACAATGGTACGGATAGCGAAACACCCGCCGCGGTGTGCAGTGGTGTGTCTGGCGTTGTCGACGATGAAGGCGCTCTCGTTGGGGAAGCTTGCGAGCTGGTTGGGGGGATGTTCCCTGGGCGGGATCTCGACGGGGAGGAACCTGTACCGGGACTAGAGGAACCGGTGCCTGGTGTGTTGTTAGCGTTTCCATTGTCGTTTTCGCTGTGAAGTTTAGATGTCGTTCTTGCTGAAGACGCAAAGCTATTGGTGACAGATGATGAAATTGATGTGGTTGAATCAGAAGCAGAGTGTGTAGTGGTAGAAGAAATACGCGATGTGATATAAGCAGAAGCAGAACTTGAGTTGACAGATGACGAAGTTGACGTGGTGGAATCAGAGGTAGAGTGTGTGGTAGACGAGATACCTGATGTAGTGGATGTAGTGGAAGCAGAAGCAGAACGTGTTGTGGTAGACGAACTTGAAGTGGTAGAATCAGAAGTAGAGTGTGTGGTAGACGAACTTGACGTGGTTGAATCAGAAGTGGAGTGTGTGGTAGACGAGATACCTGATGTTGTAGAAGCAGAAGCAGAATGCGTTGTGGTAGATGGAACGCCCGACGTGGAAGTCGATGTCAAAGAGGTTGAAGAATCACTGGTAGACGCAGAAGAAGTTGCGATTGTCGACTCACTGGTACTTGATTTGGTGGTTGTGGTCGTCGACGAGCTTGATTGAGCAGCCGACGAAGACTGCGCGGCGCCATCGTCCCCGCCTGAGGACCCCTTATCATTGCAGAAGTTGACCCATTGCAGGAACTCTGGGATCCCGCCACTAGGGTCTCCTAAGCCACCTAGGCAGCTCTCGCATTCCTCCCTTTTCTTCATGAAATTCGAGTCCTCTTCACAGAGTTCGGGATCCTTGCCGATGTTCTGGCCATCCTCCATAACTTCGTTGCAGGGAGGGTAGCAGATTTTGGGATAAGAGCCCTCTCCATTGTCTCGTCTCCATATGAAGGCGGGAGATGAGCGACGGTAGTATTTGTCGCTGCCGATCTCATCGACATCCGGGAAGCGGAAGATATCATCGCTCAGCCCAAACAGCGCAGGCTCGAGATTGAAGTACCCCTTGGAAACATTGTACGTCCTGGTCTCTGGGTTCTCAGTCTCGTTCCAGACTTGGTTGTGGATGTAGGGCGGGCTCTTGATGCACTCTTCGGGCCGGCAGACGTAACTTTCTGGCGGAATGCCGGCCTGGAAGTTGCAGTTTGCGGCGTCGCCGCTCCGCTTCGGGCTACAGAGAGTGCCGGGAGGACAGCCCCAGGTGTAGTCCGTTGGGAGTGGTGCAGGAGGTGTATAGGTTGGATTTACGGGAAGAGGTGGGCAGCGCGAGACCGTTTGGGTTGTTGTTTTCGTGGAAATGGACGTGGTGCCTGCGGATGTGGTACCCGCAGATGTAGTGCCGGGGGCTTTAAAAAGTCAGTCTAGATACGTTCGGGTGGGAATGCAGTGGTCTTTAGCTTACCAGTGACCGTGGACCCTGAATCGGTTTCCCCCGGCTGTGTAATGATGGACGTGACCGTTGACCCAGGAAGAGTGGTGACAGAACCTGATATCGTGACCGTTTTTGGCGGCACGACCGATGTTTTGGTGATTGTAGGCCCTGACACAGTTGTTCCTGGCTGCGTGATGACCGACGTAACTGTTGATCCAGGGAGAGTCGTGACCGACCCTGATACCGTGATTGTCTTGGGTGGCGCAACTGATGTGGTGGTGATAGTGGTCGCCGGGGCGGTAGTCGTTATGGTACTTCCTGGCAATGTCAAGGTCGAGGTCACAGTCGACCCTGGCAGGGTGGTGACCGATCCTGACACGGTCACCGTCCTGGGAGGCACCACGGACGTGGTCGTGATGGTGGAACCTGGCAAGGAGACTGTGGTTCCTGGTTCTGTCACCGTGGCTCCCGGCTCTGTCACCGTGCTTCCTGGCTCCGTCACCGTGGATGTCGCATTCTGAGTAATGGTTGTTTCACCGTCCCCGATCCCAATGCTGATTGTCACAGTCACAGTGAACCCAAAGCTTTTGGTTATGGTTGTTATCGTGTGGTCTGGTGGAGCTGTAATAGATTGACTGGGACATTGGAAGTCCGTGAAGCTTCGGGTGATCGTTACCGGCTCATCAGTCACTGTAATCGTGGCATTGGAGCTTTCGGTAACTGTCCGTGTCTCTGCAGGAGGGGTGATGGTGACGGTTTTTGTTTTGTGTGGGGGAGGCCACAGGGTCGGATGCGAATGTTCCTCTGATGTGGTAGACGGGGAGGAGGTTGTTGAAGGGGGAGGAGGCAATTCGGACGTCTTGCTTGTACTGGTGATGATCGGGGGAAATATTGTGGTATATGTTGTCAAGCTGGTTTTGCAGTCGCATGCTTTATCATACGCCAACCATGTTTTCCATTCAGTCAACACTCCTCTCTCTCCTATCTCTCTTCGGACTTGCATTTGCTCCGACGCATCATCCCCTGTGCCCCACACAAAGGAGGCTGCCATCAGCAATGGCATTGCCACGCGTTTTATCTTCATGGTTGCGAAGTTCAATGAATTCAATCTTCAATGATGCGATATGCGAGATAAAGAACTTAAGGGAGTCAAGCTCTATGCAGTGCGCATGTCATTTAGCGACCATCAAAGGAGTTGTTTGATTCAATGCTATCCTCGTGTCAGTATGAGCAGGCCGTAAGAAAGATAAAGAGGGGGGGGGACAGAAGGTGTAATTGGGTTTTTCTTCCACCCTGCTGCTAGTACCCTAGCAACCGATGTTACCTTACGATTGACGGTCTTTGATAGCGGCTCATACCACCTTACCTCCAACTATTGCTGCTCGAACTGGGGACGCGTGAACAAAGAAAAAGGAACTGGACACAACCTTAACCTCCTGGGGTCCAGTGCGACTCAATATAGGTTGTTTGTGGACTAGTTCTCTCAGCCTCGTGCTGTTGTGCCCAGACGTCAACACGAAAAAAAAAAAAAAAAAAAAAAGGAAACAAACGAAGAATGGAACAATACGAGGCCAGAACACTTGGGTTCATTTGAGAGGGCCCTGCAGAGACCTGCAGATACGTTGGATAGGAGCAGATTCATTGCTGACTGCAGGAAGAACACGGCGAATCACGTCATTCCACTACACGGCGACGGGCTGGGATGTTGCATCTCTCTCCGACAGGGGTGCGTAGTGATGGTTTGTTATCATGACTGGGGAGGGGTTGGCTAGAATGGATGCTACAGAGCGGGAATTTGCGATACCCCTCATTCGACCAAACCACCATATCCAGAACTTGACCATGATCGACCCAGCTGGGACTTTCCTCTAGGACTAACACGAAGCTGAACGAATAACCCCTCCACACGTACATGCAGGATGTCTAGCATCCCCTCACCTCGTTACCACTTGCAGCATTCTGCCCGAAGCCACTGCATCTGAGGCCCAGGGTCTGTCCATTAAACCCTCACTGCTAATGGATCCCACGAGTTCCCCGCACCTATCGCAATCGGCGTTGGTCAGAAAGAAGGGAAGGGCATCCCCAGCCTTGCAGATGGCCCAATCATGACATTGGTATCCCTGTTCCCGCTGGTCAGGCAAGAAATCCCAATGACCTTCCAGGCCGGTCTGGTACCCAAGCAGGCTGGCAAACAATTTGCCGGACGAGAAGAACGAACAAAGAGCCTCGTCGGCACGCTGCGTCAGGGATCTCCGGCTTGGTGGTGTCCTCTCATCTCCTCCTGTCTCCTACCTGTCATTTCCTTTTTCTTTGTCTTTTGTCACTTTTTTGGTTTCATTGCCTTTTTCCTTAATCTTATTTTTAGGTTTTATTTGCCCAACTTTCTCCTTGGTTTGTCTCTCTGCGTGCCTACCATCGTCTTGGAGGCCCAATGATTTCTCCCAGGTAATACTGTACACTCCTGTAAGCTATCGAGGGCATTGTAAGTGACCAACTATCTCTGGACAGGCTTTCTTCTAACACCACACCCTTCTAGGACGTCATTATGCCGCGACATACTTGGCTTGCGTTCTCCCTCTGGGTGGCCCTGGCCGACTGCCTGGGGCCGGCATGGACGGGGACTCAGGTCGACTTGACCGTTCTCAACTGGGACAGGTTGCGCGGTATGTTCTTCGGGGACTACATAGCGACGGTAAGCTGATCACACGCAGTGAATACCATCCGCGATACCGTCTACCTCAACGGGGGCTCTCTTTGGTGGCAGAAGTAGGTAGGCGATCCTCCGCGTGGCCGCAGCGATCGACTAACAGTCCCATAGAGAATACTCCGACGACCAACCTGACCTGCGCCTAGACAGTAAGGTTCCGTGCTTCTCGTCTACCCAATAGATGGAGTCTAACAAAGGACAGACACCGCGGAAGCAAATGTCTACTACTTCGGTCTCGGCGAAACTTTTGACACTTCAACCACAAACCTAACGGCTCTGCTCCACGTCATGCCCACGACCGGAGTTCAATCGGCCGGCAATCTCGCCCTGACTTACTTTGACGGCGCCATGTTTGCCAACGATGAGCAGTTCTATCTCTATGGGTATGCGTCATCGGCGCTCTCCAAGCGCATCAGTTGGATTGGTCACCGCTAACCCATGACCAGAGGAATCACGCGTAAATTCGACGACGATCCACCACCTGCCGAAGACTATACCATTGGCTACGAGCGTTACGAGTACGACGGGCATCGCGAGAAATGGCGTAGTGGGTTCCGCGGCGACAAACTCGACAACGACGTGACAATGTACGTTTCCAACGGCGCAAGTGTCTCTGCACCGAGCGAAAATCTAGGGTTCTACTTTAGCGGAATACAGAGGAAAGATAGGGGTCCTATCTACCTTCACGGCATTCATGATAATATGACAGAGATAACCGAGTCGGACACATTCGTCACGGTTGATATGTCCAAGATGCGAGGCAACAAGTGGGCGAACCACACCTTGCCAGAATATGTGGTCGGTCGCGCGAATGCGGAAGCCGTCTGGGTGCCTGTGTCGGGGAAGGGCATCGTGGTCATTCTCGGAGGAGTGATCAATCCAGCTGCGTTGGATGGGTGGTCCACCCCAAGTAAAGAGGACCAGAGCGAAAGTAAGAAAGTGAGCCCAGGGTTTATGGAGAGCGTCTCTGTGTATGACGTTGCCGAGAATAAATGGTACTGGAATCTTCATCTAAACCTTCTTCGCCCTCTCACCCTCTCACCCTCTCTTTTCCACTTGATAAATCGGCTAACGTAGCACTGCAGGTACATCCAAAAGACCACAGGCGACATCCCTCCCCAGCTAGCCCGGTTCTGTTCCGTTTATGCCAGCGCGCCAGACGATTCCTCGCACAATATCTACATCTACGGCGGCAACAATGGCACTAGCCCCCTAGATCCCCCATCCGATGACGTGTACGTGCTATCGCTTCCATCGTTTGAATGGATCAAGCTATACAGCGGGGTAAAAGAACACGGTCGCACCGGCCACCGCTGCGTGAAGCCGTATCCGGATCAGATGCTCGTGCTGGGGGGTCAGTATATGGACGTAACCAAGCCTCTAGGTGGGGGTTTCATCCAAGTACTCAATCTCAACACCGGTCGATTTCAGAATAAATACAACTCGGCGCACGAAGAGTATCGTGTGCCGAATATGGTAGCTGGAAGGATTGGCGGGGGGTGAGTAGCTCTAATCACCCTCCCTTTGAACGATTGCTAACAAAGTAAATGATCATTAGCCCGGCAGGTGGTGCCACCAAAACATCGCCTTCATCCTGGACAAATGACTCTCTCGCCTCCGTCTTCAAAACGAAATACCCCGGGACGATAAAGACGTGGTATCCCTACCCACAAGTCCGCAGCGTCCACGAGAAAAGGGGCACCAAGTTCCCGGGCTGGGCCGGCGCCATCATCGGCGTCGTCCTCGGCGTCATTCTCATTGCGTGCGCGCTGGCGTTCTGGCTCATCCGGCGGCGCAGAAAGCAACAGCAATATAGAAGCTCGCATAACCCGAGTATCAGCGAGCCCGATACCAGCACCATGACGCGAGTGGCACGATGGATACAAGGCTCCGGCGGAGACTCCGCAGTACCCAAATCGGGCGACACAGTATCGACCGAGTATGGGGCGCAGAGCGAGGGAACAGCCGTCTCGCGAGGATTTCTGCCTGAGGTTGGGGGAGAGCCTGTTCATGAACTTCGTGAGTCCCCTCTTCTTTCCCATCCACTTTTCCCCTTTCTCTCTATACAAACACGCCATAGAATGGCGAAGATGCTGATGGATAAAAACAGCCCCAGAAACAACCAAAGTCTTCCCCGCCGAGCTGCCCACGCCTTACAACAAGCCGGATTCTAGCCCCGCGCCGAGTTCCACGGGTGGAGGATTTCGCTCGCCCGTGTCGCCTGCGACGCCGGGAGAAGAGGGCAGTAACCAAGAGGAAGGGCGTCCAACGCACGGAAGACAGATGTCCAACGTGTCGAGCGCGCCGTCAATGTCTATCGCGGACGTGATCAGCGAGGACGGGGAGAAGGACACCAAAGGACACGCCATGAGACCCAGTATTGTGTCTAATTTTTCGGAACTGAGTAGCACGCCTTCTTCGTTCTCGGAGCAGGGGACTTGGACTGGACTGGGGATAAATGCTGACGGGAAATTGAGTCCAACCCGGGAGGATAAGGAATGAAGCATGATAACTTTTGGACTCATGCTGATGGATGGATCCGGGGGGGGGACTACTTGTTTGATACAATTCTGTTTTAATACCCGTTGATTAATTCGATGGTCTGCGTTTGAATATAGCCAACCAGTATATAATACCTACTACCTACACGTCACTACTCAGAGCCATATTTAATAGCATTGTAATTTTCCACTGATGCTTTTATACATAATGCATATAGTGCATACACTACAACCGACTCCCAACCACCCTCCCCCTCTCAAAGACGGCAGCAGCCCTCAAAACAGCCTCATCCTCCCACCTCCTCCCCACAATCTGCATCCCAACAGGCAACCTCGCACCCGCATCCCCGACCCCAAACCCACACGGCACACTCAACGCCGGATGCCCCGACACATTAAACGGACACGTATTAGCAACAACCCCCACAGCAGCCCTCACCCTCTCCATCACCCTACCACTCCCCCCAGGCTCCAAATTGCGCATCGCAACCGTCGGCGCCGTCGGCGTAACCAACACATCGTACTCCTCCAGCGCCCTATCATACGCCGCCCGCAGCTCAAACACCTTCCGATGCGCCTTGCCCATCACCCCAGGGAACGTCTCGCTCAGATAAGCCCCGCAGAACGCCAAGTTCGCCACGCTGGGGTTCTGCGCTGTCGCGGTCGCGTACATGTCGCTGTCGAGCGGCCAGCGCAGTGTCCCCAGCTGCGGCACCCCGTAGCTCAGGTATCCCGGTGTGCTCTGCGCGCATGCGTACTCGCCCATCGAGGTGCGTGTCGCTGCTGTCCAGATTGCGGGGCCTTCGGCGTGCATGGGGATGCTGATCTCTGAGACGACGGCTTCGCCGTGGGACGGGAAGAGCGTGTACGCGGCGTTGCGGACTGTGTCACGCACTTGCGAGCTGAGGCCGGCGACTTCGAAGGATTCGCGGATGAGGGCTACGCGGAGGGGCAGCTGCGACTGCGACGGCTGCGCGAGTAAGGCTGGGTAGTCCTTGACGTTGTGGCGGAGGGGCGTTTCGGGTGTCATGCGCGCGTCGACACCGTCGTAGCCGGCGAGGACTTGGAGGAGGACTGCGATGTCAGCTAGCGAGGAGGCCATTGGGCCGAGGTGGTCGATCATGGGAGATAGCGACAGCGCGCCTGTGTAGGGGATTAGGCCGTGGGTGGGCTTGAGCCCGTAGACGCCGTTGTAGGAGGCTGGGATGCGGACCGAGCCACCTTGGTCGCCGCCGATGGCGAGGTCGGCGCGGTCGCCGTAGGAGGGGGGTGATGGGGGGACAGGGACGGCGTTCATGCCCATTAGGCTGCCGCAGCCGCTGCTGCTGCCGCCGGCGGAGAAGCCGTGGGCCCAGGGGTTGTGGACGGGTCCGGTGGCGGCGGAGAAGGAGAGCGGGGAGGCGGAGTACATCTCGCATGTTGCTGTGCCGGCGATGGAGCCGCTTGCTTCGAGGACGCGGCGGACGACGGGGGCGTCGATGGGGGAGAGAGGGTATTCATTGCTGTGATGGGTGAAGAAGGAGGCGGACAGGCCGGCTGTTGTTGGGAGCCCCGCGACGCTGATGTGGTCTTTTATGGCGACTTTGCGGCCGTGGAGGAGGGTCGAGGCTGGGCGAGCGGCACGGATGTCGCACCGGTGGCTCCAGGCGTTCAGTGGGTTGGCTTTTGGTGAGGGCTTCCAGAAGGTGCGGGGTGAGATTGAGGGGGTCGGGGATAGACCTGGGTGGAGGTAGTCTGGGGAGTTGGCGATCTGTCGGTGGACGGCTTCTGCAGACTGGAGGAGGAGGAGGTAGCTTTCTTCCTCGTCGCCTGGTTGTATGCTAATGCCCCAGCGGGCAGCGAGTTGGTGGAGATATTCGGGGGTGAGGTCCGACTGGTAGTTGGAGGGGAGCGCTACTGTTGACATTGTGCTTGATGTCTTGTGGTGAGGTCGTGGAAAAGAATTACCACTCGACTGCAAAAGATACCATGATACTTTCGCGCTTCGTGAGTAATCTTATGTGGCAACACTGGCTTATCGGGTGATTAGTGGTGAGTGGGAGGGTATATCCTGTGGGATGCAGAGTTGGAGAAGAGTTGGAGTCATCCTGCGGCATTTATCGGAGCATTTGATAAGATGGAGCAGGTTGACAAGACAGAGAGAGCGTTATTCAGCTCTGAACTGATTGCTAATATGCCAGCTTCTTCAGACCATTCATGGGTAGGAAGGATAGTAGATGTTTCTCATTCCCGTTGACTAGATTTCCAGATGAAAAGCCTCGCGCATCTGAGAGTTTGATGCTGATACGGAGAGATACGGAGCAAGGCTGGGCGTTCTCCAACTGGGGTCGATAGAATATGTATTTGGAGAAGGCAACCCAATTGAAGCTTATCACTGATCAATCAGAAGTCAGTTAAATTGCGTCAATAGATCCCTCGTCAGATCCCTAGAATTTGATATCCTCGCTATTAGAATATAACATCAAGCAATGGCGCCAAGTCCCATGGGAATCACAGCATTTTTAAGCACAAGAAAGATAGGGATTAATAAGATCCATCCATAAAGCCTGCTCAATGAGATAGAGAAGAATAGAACCATAAAAAAAAGAAACAGAAAGCTTGAGTGAGTAGAACAAAACAGACCGCATCTATTTTGTCTTCCTCGTGCAGATAGCATAGAAACAAAGAATTATTGGGATCAAGAGCATTATGAAATCAAACTAAGCAGTCAAGACGCCATCCATACATATCATCATCATTATCATACTGGTAATCGTGAATCGTGAAGCATGTGGGGATACCCTCATCACACACTAGCAGTCCGACGCTTCTCACTCGGCTTCTGCGCATACGCAATCAGCAGCCGGAAACCAGTCCCCCGCTGCTGACACTCGCGGAGGACCTTGCGCTCTGTCCATATGCTGAGGCCGATGTCGCCGTTCGGCAGCACCGGGATCTCGTAGCACCGCGTGTACCACCACCTGCCGACCCGCGCGACGATCTTGCGAATGGATTCGTCGTTGGACGGAGACGGGGACGGGTCGGAGAGTAGATCGCCGAGAGATAGGTCGGTGTCGTTTGAGGAGGATTTGCCGTGGAATTTGGCCGGCACGTCGATCGAGGACGTAGATGGCATAGAGAATATGGTGGAAGGGGTGGCTGTCGTGATGCGAGTGGGGTGGTGAGAAGACGAGCCGGACGAAGACCCCGACGAGCGGACTATCATCCCTGCGACGGGGATGCGCACCATGCACCGTCGCAGGTTGTCGAAGCCGTGCTTCCCCAGCAGGCGCTGAATGCTGTCGCTGGCTGGTTTGAGGCTGATGCTATCATCTGACAGGTATGTGCGCTCCTTTAGTTTTCGCACCGCCTTGCGCGTGCGGATCCCCATGTTGACCATGTCCAAGTCCAGCACGCTCATCTCCATGTACCCCCCGGGGCGCAGCACGCGTTTGCACTCTGCTACGATGTTGCACTGAATACTTTCGGGACTGGCAGCGGGGAAGCGCAAGATCGTGGCGGCGAAAAAGCCCCTTGGAAAGGGGAATTGAGTTTCCAGGCTGGCGTGCTGGATGGTATGGTGATTTGATGGTGGAAGCCAGGCAGCGGGATGTTTGGATGCGGTGGGCGCCGGTCCGTCACTGAAATGGTAAACGTCTGCGTTCGGGTACGTCAAGGAACAGTAGAAAGACCAGTCATCGTTCCCCAGCCCATCGATCACAAGGATCTTTTCTCGCTCCCCACTGCTCACATGATTGTGGGATGGGCTGAAGAGTACTCGCCCGAAAGAGAGCCAACGGCTTGTCATGAGCGACCCAGATCGGATGTTGGTTTGCGCGGTAGGGCCCTCCCGGTCACGCTCAGCAATATCGAACAGGACCGTATTCCGCTGTCGGCAGGTCTCGAAGCTCGGGGACGGGTTTAATGACGGCAAGCTCAGAACGCTGTTCTGGCTGTCTGCAGGCGGAGTCGGGGTTGAAGAGCTCGGTCGGTCCTCGCTGCAGTTATCGTCTCGTTCATAGCTGGCAATGAGATCGCTGTATGATTGTTGGGCCGATGGAACAAAGGATGAGTGAAGCGCGGCCGCAATTCGAGATCTGCGGAGTCGTATGGAGCCATTGCTGGACCCCGGCGACGCTGGAGTGAAAGCCACCGTCGGATGCTCGGCCATGGGAGCAGGGACCCGATCATCTGCAAAACCATTCATTCCAGCTTGGAGGGTCCGACTAGCCCGGGTCGCTAGTTGGAATCTCTCGTCTGCCTCGTGTTCATCCGAAGCCATGGATCTAGTGGTTTCCGGGGAATACAGCACGTGGTCGATAAATTCATCAAACTCGCGCCAAATCTCATCCTCAGTCAGTGCCGAATGGGGCTTAGGGATCTGGGCAGTTACTGCAGCAGAACTGTCAGAGCTACTGGAAGCTGAGGGTGTGGAATTCTTCCGGGGAGCCATTGTAAAAAACTCATTCTTTGAGTAAGGACCAGTAAGGAAATCGAGGGGGTTTGCTTGGGAGGAGGTCCCAGAAGGCTGGGAGTGGTCGAACCCAGTGTGCAATCGTTGGACGTCCTGCTTATCTGGTTTGATTCGGCTAGATGGAGAGATTTCAATTTGTCGATCCGTGACAGGCGCTGGGATTGACGGTAATTCGATCACGCTGAATGGCCGAGAAAACGACTCCATTGCCGGTCGATGCTGTCTGTCACGCTTCGAAACAACTCGAGGAATCCGTCCGATCGACGCCAGACGGCTAGGACGCGAGTCTTCCGGGCCTCTCTCGTGCTCTTGATGATTGGGACGTTGAGTGAAGTACACCTTTGAAGGCGAGTGTCGTCCAGAAAATTCTCTCTCTAGCTTTGGAGGAGAAGGAAGTAGTATGGACTGGCTGGGCTTTTTAACGTTCAAGGCTGCCGGGACCTCCACAGGTGAGACAGGTGAGACAGGCTCGTCACTAAGAGGAGATTCATCAAGAGTTCGGATGACATCCTCCAAAGGCTCAGAATCGGAGTCCACAATGGCATAATGCGCTACCGGCCGTTGCTGTGCGGATGGCTTTACCATCGCGCGGACCTGGGATGACGGCTGGATGGTGGATGTTGACGGGGGCTCGCTGTTTGCTGGCTTGTGGCTTTTTTGAAAGAAGGGTAACTTTAAACCGAGTCCCTTTTTAGTAGGCTTCTTCTGCTGGTGTTGCTTCCCATCCGGTAATCCCATAGCCGAAAAACGTGTAGCGATGGTTTCCTGAGGTCGAAGCTGCTTTGGATTGGGAGATTTAGACGCCTGTGCTTTCTTTGGGGGTGGGCCTCCATATGCTGGTCCACCAGCTTCACTGGCATGGGTGTTTGATGGAGCATTGGCTGAAGTCTGGGAGGTCGACAGCCATTTTGCGGTCATAGTGTCCCCGGCACTGCGTGTCATACCCAGACTTTCGGTGGAATGCCCAGGGACAGCTACCAGGCTTGCAGTTGAGGCAGTACTAAAACCTCCTATGCTTTGCTCGCTCTGTGTTCTGGCCAAACTCGCACCATCCCCACCGCCACCGTTAATCACCACAGGCTCAAGGCGGTTCAAAAGGAAATCATCCAATTCAGGCGCACCGGGAACACTCCCTTTTCGGCTAGTCGCAGATCTGGTTGTACTCGAGGTGGTGCTAGTGGACCTTTCCCGGGAGGTATCACTGCTGGTGATGCTTGACCTTCGGCCCCGGTGCGCGTATCGCCCATAACCTTCGTGGCCAGTCCCCGCAGCTGGGCCCTTCCGCGCGGATCGACTATCCGAGCTTATGTCAAGCTCGGCTTTGGACTTTTTGGGGAAGAGACCGAACTTCCGAGTCTTCTCCGGGCTTGGAGACTTCTGTGACTTCTGCTCCTTAGTCAAGGTCCGCAGGGCTTTTCGAGGAGCATCTGGGGAGGTGGGCGTCCGGGACATCGCCGCTCGCGATGAGCTTCTCGAATGTGCTGAATTAACAGATGTAGCAGATTTGTTAAGTGCCAGATATGCCGAACCCGTGCTTGGACTGCTTTCCAAGGAATCGCGACGCTTATGGCTTGTGACCGTGCCCGGTGAAATGTTACTCTTCACCACAGGGGAGGGTTCCTGCTCCAAACGGTGGGTTCCATATCTGCTTGGCCGGGAGGGTATTTGAGAGCCATTCGTAACGACCCTCAACCCATCTTCTCTAGAAGGTCTGCGAGGCTGAGCAAAAGACTTTACCTCCTTCGGCACAGTTTGACTGGCTCCAATATTGGGTCTCGCCCCCCGGGGCAGATTTGATTGGGCAGAGGGCCCACGGGGTAGCATACTGCTAGATCCTGCGGCCGCTCTCCCATTTTCAAGCTTGGCAGTGGTTTCCTCGGTGCTTTCTTTACCTAATGATATCATAGACCCTGTTGGCTGTGCCATGATGGGAGATCCAAATCCTTTTGGATCTAAGCTACCGCCTTGTGAAACTGACGGCGGCTGCGGGGAGAACCCTGGGAGCCGCGTCTCGTATGGACTAGGCTGCCGTAATCGAGACCCCTTGACAGGTTGGACAATTCCTGGAGAAACCGATGACAACGTTGTTGGTGTAGATGTTCTGCTCCATACCCCTGGTGAGCTAGAGTATCTCGTCGAAGGACTGCTGGCAGAAGCGAATGCCGGAGTAGGCGGGGGTAGGTTCTGCATGTTCAATGTTGTCCGCAGGCTGGCAAGCTCTTTTGGACCATGGGATCGCTGCTCTGGTGGCTCAGTCGACATCTTCTCAAGGGGTGAATACCGTGTAGACGTTGGGGTAGGGTGACTCCGGTTTCCAAATCCCGTGGAAAGGTTTGTGACGCTACTCTGTCGAGAACTGTTCGGGATCACTAGGTTCAATTTCTCGGGTCGAGTCTCCGCCGCATCTTCTCGATTCATTGCCGTATGCTGTCCAATGGTCGGCGCCTTTCGTCTAAGGACGTTTCGTGGACGGTTGCGGATCGGCTCTTTCTTTTCACGGCCGACTGCGTTCTGCTGCTCCGGAATTGCGTGGGGAGTCTGCACGTTTTTATGACTCGCGATCAACTGGGCGGTTTGAGGCAAAGCCGACGGCAGGAGATGAGTGACGGTACGGGAAGGCAAATACGAGCGAACCTCATGGCTGGATGGTAAGTTTGTGGGTCTTGTCGGCGCTGGGACTTGACGAATGTCTTCCGCCTCCGACAAAGATGACGCTCTACTGCCCCTGGTAGAGAGACTAGCCCGCTTTGAGCTCTGGATCCTGGACAGCGATGACTTAGAAGATACGAGCAATTTCTCAGGGGCAGTCATCACAGGTGATGGCCCGTTTGGCGACTGAGATGCAACATCTTTTAACCGGGGTATTCGACCGGCACTAGACTTGTGCGACGGCATGGTGCGACCTTGCTCCATCCGCCAGCTAGTCCGAGCACCGATATTCTAGCGACTGTGGTGATATCGTATAAGTATAAAATCATTCCGTCAGATAATCATCTTATTGTTTTGAATGCAGCGTGAGCCGTCTGTCTCTGTCAGCTTGATGCAAAAGATAGCAAACGCAGCCAGGGTCCCACTTACAATCTATAGCATACCACCAATTCTGTACGGAATCCGGCAGTGCAGTATTCCAAATAAGAACCGTATGATAAAAAGGATATGGAGAAGAACAAAAGTAAAGAAAGCTCAAGTGTCTATAAACCGGACCTCAAAATGGTCAAGCCGCTGAGATAAGCACGACACCCGAAGTCATGGGCATGGCAAGGGGAAATATCTATATCAAAATTCCCGAGGTAGATTTAATGCGATAAAAATATGCAAATGGTTATGGCCGCGCCGTGGGTCCGTCCTCTATCCTTCACAGAATATATATAGTTGAGTCAATCACCCGGCATATGCACAGGCTCCGCCACAGTGTCGATGGTGCCACTATCCACTGTGGCTAAAAGGAATGCACCGGGAGTGTTGAGCTGGGTCTGCACGACCACGTCAGAGAGATCCAAATGCCAAGAAGAAAAAAAAGTCAGACAATAGGATTTTAAAGATGACAGAAACCAGCTGCATCAAAGAAAATGGAAAGATCTAAACGATCGAGGATATCAAACAAAGAAAGAAACAAGGAGAATTTCTATGCTGTCTCATTTTCCTGGCCGGGACAGATCTGGACTTTTTGAAGGGCCAGGGCCTGTCCAGCGCTAAAATCCGACCCTCGTTAGCCTTGGGGGGGTAGTCCCGCGTAGCGGGGGACTGTGATCCCCATCCGCACACAGCGATCTAAGAGGCTGACCAAATTAAATAATAATATCCCCTAGCACGCCTTGTGCGATCGACGTCGGGGCCGTGTTCATGGTTGATGTGACCACGAAACCCATTGGTCTAAACATCACGAAGTGCCCCTGTTCTTATCGACTGTGTCGCACCTTGGATAGTTCTCACTTGCCAAGGGCATAGGAGCTCTAGAGTCCGGCAAAGTCATTCAGTGTCAACTCAATCGGGATGTATGGGGCCATCACCACACCACAACCTGACTGGGTCGCTTGGGATGGGGTCGTGCACCGAAGGAGGAGCAATGGAATGTCCACCCCGTAGGCCTGTTCGATTACCGTAGCCCGCTAGTCATTAGACCGTTACTGGCCGCTAGGAGATGCCGGTAGGCATTGGAATATGACAGGTTGAGACGGGGGAGAGTGGCGTGGGATAGCGGGAAGCCGTCCCATGCGACATCGGCGTCCTCCATGAGAGTGGAAACTGGGAAAGAAATCAAAAAGCCATGGACAGGCATCAGCAAAACCTGCCTGTAGCTTGTGTTGGTTTGGAGCCATGGTTGGTCTGTGTGTTGTTGGTGGCAGACTGTGATTTGATGGATGTCGGACATTTTCTTAGGCGTTCTTTTCTTAGGCGTTCTTTTCTTAGCCAGAGGTGGATCCGCAACTAATGCACTAGTCAGCAGTCACCTGGTCATCACTGACTTCTGACTTGCCCGGGGAGTCCGATGATTTGCGATCTCCTAGTGTTTTTCAAAACCCTAGTGTCTTTCATGATAATGGACGATCAGAGTGGAAGACTACGCCATCCTTATCTCATCCATCGACAGTGTCATTGACTGCCCTGGTCGTAAGCGATGACCAAGACCTCGTTTTCTTAGGCCTCAGTACACCTCCCGCTATCGCGAACACGGACATACTAAACACGCTAAAAATAGTATAAGAGCGTTGATTGCGATAGAAATACAGGACCTATGCGATCCCTTTCACGGGCTCACTTCCCCGTTACGTCCAAAATCCACCATTCTCTGGTTCGCTGGAAGGTTCGTCCCGAGCCACTCATCGTCCAATTGTGGCTCCCACCGATCCAGGAGAATACACCCGGAGAATAACAGGAAAGGAGACCCACAGCTCCCAACGGACACAGAACAGGTTCGAAATATATTGAATCCCGACAACCACTCAGGGACCCTAGATAGCACCTGGGCTCTTCAAGCCGAGACCTAGAGTCGCCTGTGCGTGGACCTCCCCCTCCCCAATCCCCATGTATCATGACGGTGCAAGCGTGATGGGATGGGAATCTTGGGTCTCCCCCGTCCCGCGAAAATTGTGGAGTCGCTGAGCAGTGGGGCCTGATCCGCCGCTAGATGGGCGAGATGCAATGGTTGCTTGTGATTGACTGACAAGCCAGGTTTGGACGCGCGGGGCGAACTGGATCGCACCCGCCGGGCTTAGCACGGTCTCGGAAGGTGTGAGTCCCGCCAGAGGATTCGCCAAAGGGTTGCAGGCGGCTTCGTGATACCCGGGATCCTGGTGGGGACGGCGGTAAAAAAATCCAGTCTGTCCTGATTTCAGGGGAAGAGGAGTTATAAAATACGGTGCTGGTAAAAGCCTAATCTATAGGACGAGAGTCAATTACAGAGCCATGCGACGTTTTTAATTAATAGATAGGTTGGGTTTATTCTCTACGAATAATGATCGGACGGGACAGTGCGAGGCTCAGACCTCTCGTTCTGGACTCTAGATCTTCTTCAGTCAATGCATCATCTCCTGCAGCCAGCAAAAGCATTGCCGATCAGATCCGATCGGGGAATAGCAGCACAGCTCTGGATCTTTCAGCTGACAATGTACAAAGCTTTGACTCATCGGATTTGACAGACAACGAAAGATTTTTTGGGAGACGGATATCCAGAAAATGTAACCAACCTGATAATAAATCTTATATTGCGGCGCGTATGGCAAGGATGTCCGGATTTTTATCCAAACTGGGTAGTCTGGCTACGATAATAAATAATTTTGGTATTTCAACAATAAGTATATTGACCATCCCTTAGCGAGGATCGGAAAGTATAGTGCCTAACATATTGTGGAGATATGCTAGAAATTTTCCTTTTCTCATTACACATTGGTACATATCCAGTATCCATGGCTTTAATCCTACATCCTCATTCAGTCACTCAATACCCCCTAAATCTACAAGTAGATAGATTACCACGCCACCACATGGCGCAGACTGGTGCATTTCATTTCCAGACTCTTGGGACAGTCCAGCGACGGGCTTCCTGTACGAGCAAGGAATACGTGTAGGTACATATACCGCCCCCATGGCGCCTGCGCATTAGGTCGCACATACCAAGGTGGTTAGCGTGCAACCATACAGGCACATTCCCAATAATCCCAGACGCACGACTCAGGGGCTGGAGGTGAGAATAGGCTCACCGACGCGACAACTTTGTTCAAGATTCCGTAATTGCCGGGTGCAGGTCGGGATATGCAATACAAGATGGCACTGATGTCGAGTAGATTCGTGGGAAAGGAAGCTGGCTACAGGGAGCAGCCCTGATCGTACAATATGTATCATCCAGGAGAAGACTCAAACAGCTTATCGGATACTACGCTTCTTCCGACGTGGTATTGGTGGCGTCTCGGCTTGGACTGGAATGTTCTGCACGTGTTACTACTACTCATCGGGTATCCTCGCCAATGCTCGATACATCGTTGTCAGTAGGTGTATACTTCAACCAAGAACGGATGAATAGACGCTACATGATGCCTGCACAGCAGCTTTTCAAAATTTCATAAGAGAATGTATGCTACCTAGTGGACACAGTAAATTTCCCATAAACGCCAACAGACACAAAGTTAAGATGAAAAGAAATGGTAAAGAATGGCAGTAAATTTAGAGTCGATACTTCCGATCGCTCACGCGGCAGCAAACCGCTTCTTCCGGGCCTCCATAGCCAGTCTATCCTTCTCACTCATCGGGGCTTGACCACCACCGTTGTTAGGTCGTGCGCCGCTCTGCTGGTTGCGACCTTGCGGGCGACCGCCACGGCCGCGGCCGCCTCGACCCTGACCCTGGCTCTGGCCCTGGCCCTGGCCTTGCCCTCTGCCCCCAACATCACGTCTCTTGCCTCCACGACCGCCCTGATCATTCTGGCCGCGGCCTCTCTTGCGAGGCTGCTCAGTCGGCAGCGCTTCGTCCAGTTTGCTCACGCCAGCATTGGCAGGAACCTCAGCCTCCGCGCCAAAGCGCTTAGCACGTTCTAGCCTCTGCTCGGCCTCAGCGATCGCAGCCTGCGAATCCTCCGTGATTCCAAACTTCTCCGCACGAGCCTTGCGCTTCTTCAGTTCTTCCTCCAACTCAGTGACGGGCAGACCCTTGGCGTAATTGGTAGCCGGTTTCTCCTCCGCCTGCGCAGTCGCAGTAGATTGGTTTGAGCCTTCTTGTGTCTCTCCCTCGGTCCCCTTGGGCTCCGCCTGGGGTTCCTCTGGGGCGGCGGGAGCGGCGTCGGGCTGGGGGTTAGGCGCTTCGGTATTCTCGGCCGGCGCGGCGGCTTCGGTGGACGGTTTCGTTGTCTCGGCGGGGACCTCGTCGTCCTCCCAGTCGATGACGTCGTCCGCGGTGTCGCCTTTGGGAGCGGCAGCGGGAGCCGCAGCGGAGTTGGTAGCCTTGCTAGCGTCGTCTTCCTGGATGCGAGCCACCATCTCGGCCTTCTTCCCTGTGTGTGGCAGAGAGCGCGCCTTCAGAATTTCGACGAGCTCTGCATTCGTCTTCTTGCTGTAGTCGGTAGTCATTTTGTAGAGGTGGGTTGCGGATGGTGATGTCGGAGAGTTGGTTGCGAGGAAGGGTGGAGGGGAGGCGGATGCGGCAGTTACACACGCACGGGTTATATGGAGAGTAAAAGGTAGCTTTACTCGACCATGCGATTCACCAGCGAATTGGTAGAGAGTGTAAGGATGGTGTGGGAGGCTGATAGGTGTCGTCGAGCTGCACTCCTGTTGAAACGCGTCGCGGTATCGGCGCAAAGCAGCAGGCTCTTGGAGCTGGCGGCTGGTTTCTGAATCAGGTAAGCGCATCACGTGTATATGTGTTGTCACGTGACTGTGGCTCAAATCCAGGCACCTCCTGTTTCCGATGGCAATCTAACAGGCCAATAAAATATCCAAAGCCCCAGACAAATATCAGACTAGATTACGAATAGCCTACAGCAATCAAAGATTTACAGGCTAAGACAACCACATAGCTGCCCGCGAAACATCGGTACGCCCGAGCAAGCTCTGCGTTTCTATCATAAAGCAGCACACCATTGACCCGTCAACCAAGACAATTCCCCGAATATCTGCCTAGTCAAAGTTACTTTAACAAATAGATCTGGCCCAAGCTCATCGGAGCTTCCGACAGATGACAGCTGAAGACAAGAAGCTAGCTTGACACATGGCATGAAAGGTATGGATGTGGCGAGTGGGGGATCTGCATGCACTGCGCCACAGTGGCTGTCATACCGTTTCCCATATTTCCCGGTTTCTCTTTATTTTTATTGCTCTGGTTCTGATTTTTGGGCCCCACCGGCTTTGTCCTGTTCCGCTATGACGTTTGTCAAAAAGAGATTGAAATGCGTACTACACAGATTACCCATTACCACGTCACTGATGGGATGGCATGGATGCTTCTCTTGTGTTATAGCTCTCCGGTCAGGTATATCGCAGTGTCTCGTTTAGCAAAGTAGACACGGCAAAGGTGTCAAGTCTAGCCAGAGCGCAATGTTGCAAATGACTTTGCAGTTCATCATAATGCTCATGTTGAGAAAAACCTCAACATATGAGCTCCTCTAAGTAAGGTCATTATATACAGCCTTGCCCGACCTCAATTATATACAATGTATAGTGTTTTTCCATCTATACACTCTGGAGTTGCCTATCTTATGTACCTGGGAAACATCAACTCTAAACATGATCATAACGACCAGAAAAATAGTAAAAATAACAAATAACGTCCAGATCAAGCTATTTTGTACAACTGCTAGAGGTGACATGGGCTTCACACCAACTTAGCCTGTCATATTAGCACTGAAGGCACGCCCGCGGATCAGTATCCTGCAACATCCAGTCGCCAACGCCAGCTAACAGATTAGAGCTGAGCCTCGCCAACTCTAGCGACCCTCATTTGTGCGTATTCAAAGAGGTTCCTTTACGATATAGGGTTCTAGATGGAACCCGATTCAATTTTCCTCGCCATTGGTTGTTTAGCAGAAACCATCAAGTCATATCCAATACTTGATAAAATCTTCGTGCCATCCTATGCTATGAGAGCCAATTGTCTTATGCCTGTTACCCACTAGCTTCCTAAGAAGTTGGCCGTAGAGCTAGCCATGTGCAGTTTCATATGTGTAGCTAAATATTTACTCATACATTAGAACCGTCACTGTTTCATCATTATATTCAATCCCCTCTGTTTCAAATATGATACATTGTAGCGCCTTTATGGCCCAATAATCTGTACAGATGACTTGCCAGGTGCTAAATACAGGAATTTAATTGTGAAGATATGGATTTTGACCTGCAAACCCCGGAGATCTTGAAACCTCAAAATACAATCTTCAAATAGTCAGGGAAGCTCAGGCACCCAAAACATCAGTCTCCCTTTCCTTCTCCGCCATCTACTATAATATGATGTGCTCGTATAGCATCTCTTCACTGTCTTTCCACATGTCAAATGAATGACACACCCCGACACATATCAGAGACCAGACTGAGCATAAATAGATGACTAGGATTCATGTAACCGAAACATTCATCACGCACTGAACCAGTGACTCACTTGATATCTGTGAACTGATCCCAGTTCCCTATATATACAGCTGAGCGGTAACCTTTGCTTAGAGTATTGCTTCCGCTGATCAAACAACAATTTCCAGGCATACTCTGTCGTTACTGATTCGTGACCTTCCCTTATCCAACTTCATCTTCATTCTCAACTACCAGACTTTGATACCCACCACCATGGCCGAACTCCACATCACTGTCGACGACCTGACCTCCATAAAGGGTAGAACCGTTCTTATAACCGGTACACTTTCCCTTCCTCCCCCCTACCAAGCGCACTTTCTAACAGGATATACACACAGGGTGCAGCTCCGGCATTGGCAACGCAACTCTCCAACTGTGCCACCAGCTCGGAGCGAACATAATCGCCGGTGATCTAATCCCCCTATCGGAAGATCTTCTCAACACCCCAAATCTCCTCTTCGCCAAAACCGACGTCACAGACTGGCACAGCATCCGCGCCCTATTCATCGCAGGCCACCAACGCTTCGGCCAAATCGACCACGTCTTTGCCAACGCGGGCATCAAGCCCACCAGAGTCTTCCTCGATGCCACCCTTGACGCAGACGGACTACTCGCGCCCCCGGACCTAGCCACCATCAATGTGAACTTCCTCGGCGTGATCAATACCGTCCGTCTAGCCATGTACTATCTGCGCCAGGGCAGCGTCGACCCCAAGTCCCATAGCATTGTGCTCAGCGCATCAGCATCAGCATTCCAGAACTTCCCCGCGCCAGACTACTGCACCGCCAAGCACGGAGTGGTAGGACTTCTGCACGGACTCACAGGTGAGCTAGAGTCAACGCTGCGCATTAACGCCATCGCGCCGTCGTGGACGGCTTCCGGGATAGTCATCCGCGAGGTCGTCGAGATGCTGGGTGCGGAGGTGCAGGATCCGGAGGTCGTGGCACGCAGCGTGCTCAAGCTTTTTGTGGACGTCGACCGCCATGGCGAGATGCTTTATTCGTGGAATGGAAGGTTCTTTGAGATTAATAAGGCCCCCGGGGGGCTGCTTGATTCTGCCGCTAGGTTGTTGCCGGATACTGTTTCCGAGGATGAAATTATGACTAAATTGGTGGGTGTTGTTGCTGCGGTGGAGGGTGAGCAGGCTGTCAACGGTTCTTAGTTGGTGATTTAGGGGTTTTAGTATTCGCTTTGGCTAGTTTGTATCTAGGGTATCTAGGTTTATTACTGTAGGTTAATTTCAAGACTTGGAATAGAAGAACAAAGTAAACAGCTCTTGTTACTAGATAAACTTCCCGGGCAGATACATAACTGTTATCAAAAAGCTTTCTCTCCGCTATAGATGACCAGCGCACATCCTGTAATTATTTCTAGACACAAGACAAGAAATTTGCTCTAATAGCGCATAGATGCGATCATACTAACTCCTGGCGTTTCCACACTTTGAATAGCTTTGGACGCGTCAACGCTGAGATATGTATGCTAAAAGAAAAACGATCCAATTACCTGATACTCATTTTTTGGATGACAGTCTGTACATCATCATGTACATAATCACGATCTGTTTGATTACCAAACAATCATCTTTAACCACGATTCCCAAGGTAAAAATACCCCTATCGAATAAAAAACGTTGCCAGTTAAGACATGGGAATATGTTGTAGATCACCAGGGTTCATCTACCGACATACAACTCCCACGATCTAGCCCATTCCCAAAACCAAACCTCCAACCCGGCCGAGAAAATAACAAGATTATAGCAGTGAATCAGCACGTTGATACCCCCCAACGCTAATAACGAACCCACAAGCCCTACCTGCGTCGCGCACGCCATCCCGTCGCGCCATCACCCCATGAACAAGGATCACTAACCCAACCAACAACGCTGGAAGAAGCATCTCCCCGCGTGGCAGCTCCAATCTATTCTCCACACTGGGGGAATGCCACGATAAGATTGACATTTGTTGTTGGAGATGGTCAATTGCGTGATGTGGAGGAGATATTGGTCTTGCGCTATGCTCCGAGGGCGGAGTTTTTAAACGATGAGGTGCCCCCTTATGTGAGTGGAATTAGCAGTTGGGGCTGGTCTCGACTTCTTCGAACCTTTTTTCTTATCATTTTAATTCGGTACGATGGCGGAAAAGGTGGGAGAAACCGAATATGCAGTTGAAAGCAGTGATTCCGATATTGGGAGACCAGCTGCAAGAGACGAGGAGGATGCGGCCAGAAAGGCCCTCTTGCAGTCTTTCACGCCCGAGGAAGACAAGATAGTGCGGAGGAAGATCGATTGGCGGTTTTTACCACTTATTGGGATGATGTATCTTGTCAAGACTGTGGGTTCTTTTTTCACTCTTTGGGGGGGCAGATAGGGCTGAGACTAACAGATTAGATTGATTATACAAATGCTGCAAATGTCAAGGTGCTCCAGGTTGGAAGTGAGCGGAACGTGCTTACAGAGCTGAGCATGACGGCGGATGAGTATAATTGGGTGCAATCTATCTATTTTGTCAGTCCATCTATTTCAGATATGTAGCCGATACTGCTAAACAAGAGTGAGAAGCTAACAAACCCAGATCAGCTACATCATCTTCGAAGTCCCCAGCAACATGATGCTCAAAAGACTCACCCCCCGGCTGTGGCAGTCACGCATCATCCTCAGTTGGGGCATCGTGCTGGCATGTCACGCCGCTGCAAACAACAAAGAGACGATGTGGGCGCTGCGCTTCCTGCTGGGCATGTGCGAGGCAGGCTTGTTCCCGGGGATCGCGGCGCAGCTGTGCGGCTGGTACCGCAGCGACGAGATGGGCAAGCCAATTATGTGGATGTTTGCGTTTCAGAACTTCTCTGGTATTTTGGGGTCGTTGTTGGCTTATGGAATTTCTTATATGAATGGAATGTGCGGGATGAGTGCGTGGCGATGGTAGCTCCTCCTCTTCCATCTGGTCAGGCGAAAACCATGATCAAGCTGACAAAACGCCGGGATCTACTAGGGTCTACCTCCTCGAAGGCCTCTTCACGATCCTCTTCGCCGTAATCGTCCACCTTGTCCTCCCCGACTGGCCCAAAAGCCCCCGCAGCTCCAAATGGCTCACCCCCCGCGAACAAGCCTACATCGAAGCCAGACTCTCCGAAAACGCCCCGCGGACGGGTGACGCCAATTTCTCCAAATCCGAAGTGCTGGACTCGCTGGTCGACCCACGCACCTACGCCTTCATGTTCTCCCAGCTGCTGGTCAACCTCGCCGGATACGCCCTCACCTGGGAGCTACCGACCATCACAACCAGCCTGGGGTTCGCGGGTCTTCCGCGCAACCAGCTGCTGAATATCCCGCCCTGCGCGGCGGCCGTGCTGGCTGTCATGTTCAGCGGGTGGTTCCAGAAGCAGGCTTATATGACGCGGCCGGCGTTCGTCAATTTGTGCATAATGGGGCCTATGCTGCTGTTTTTCGTGCTTCTGGCGACGTTGAGGTCCCCTGTTGGGGTGTATGTGGCTTGTGTGTTGGGGAATATGTTTTATGCGGTGTATTTTATTCCGTTCTGGGCTTGTATGTTTCCCTCCCTTCATTCTTTCCCTTGCGTTTACTACGAGAGTGATATTCTGATATAGTACGAACAGGGCGAAGCTCTTCGTTGAAAGGCACAACAGGCGCAGCCTTCACGCTAGCATTCCAGTCGTGCGTGGGACAAGTCGGCGGCGTGGTCGGCCCGCAGCTGTTCCAGGAGCGATTTGCAAGCAACGGGTACAAGACACCGTTTGCCATCTGCGCGGGGATGGTCGGGGCGGCGTGCGTAACGAATGCATGGACGTGGTGGCTGACTCGAAACGTGGAGTGGGATGTGCGCCGGGTGCGGCGGCTACGGATGCGCGAGGAGAAGCGGGGGCGGATCTACGCTGGGGAGGATGTGCGTGTATACGAGGAGAGGGAGTTTTATTCGGGGTTGCGGAGGGAGGAAGGAGCGTGACCTGGTTGGATTTACTACCTACCTACCTACCTATCCTAAGAGAAGGATGATTTGAGATGGTGCGAGGGCGCTGGGAATGATTGGTTTAGATAGATACCTTTATATAACTAGGTCGTTAGAGGTATCGGCTACAAAGATACCAAAGTACCAAAGGAGAGATCCCGTCTTGATATTGCTTTTTTGCTGGTGTCGTTTTGACATCATGGTCGTATTTGTGGACATTTGGCTCAGTGGAAGCGATTGTGATGAGGGGATGTGGAGAAAAGAGTTTTTTCTTTCTTTTCTTAGATGTTGTTATTTTATTTATTTTATTTTGCATTTTTTTTATCATACAATTTGATTTGATAGAGAGTTGCTGGGCATGCCTAGGCCCTAACTGACTCGAGCGTTATAGTTTGTGCTATACATACTACATAGCAAGGACTCGCATGAATCATGATCTGTTTCCCAGTTGAGTTCTCTACGAGTACCTCTAGTTCATGGCATCGGCCAGACATAATGATGATGAAAAATTCGATACTGATATCACACGATTTCGGGCTCATTGATGTTATATTTTTAGCATATTTAATGATACCCACCAGGTATATAAGGTAGGCCTGTAAGCTTCTTGCCTGGCTCTCCGCCAATAGCGGCGGGTAGAGCGACAGGGCTCTCGGCCCAACAGCCCTGAGGCGGACGCCACACTGTACCTGATTGAGACATTTTGAATCCATTACCCACCACTATTATTCATATCATTCTGATTTCGAGTCAGAAAAAGACGGTTTACCGGAATGGGTAAAATCTTCCTCGCGTGGGGCGCCAAAGCAGAAAAAAAAAACGAAAGTACGGAGTAAAGAAAAGGGAAAACTGGATCAAGAAATAACCATTGACAGAATCAACCAAATTCCAACAACCAGCGTGGTGGAGTGGTGCATGTGACAATTGTCCAGTTGGCTCCATTAGATGGTTGTTCTCAGCCAATGAGCTGCCTCAGGATCCAGCTCAATGCCCGATCGGGTTAGCGTGATCCCCGACAGCCCTGAGAAGCAACCTCGACCAATCCGCTTCGGGATCTAGTCCAGATTCATTATCACGGCCACTGGTTGAATCTTCTGGTCAAACTTGATCCTAAACCCACTTTCATCATGGAGAAACCTTGCCGGGGTCCCCATTTCTCAACAGTTTGCCCCGGCTTGCCTTCCTTTCTCTTCTTTCCCCTCCTCCCATCCCTCCTCCTCACTCCGGTTACCTTGCTTCTACCGTCGTCCTCGTGTTCTCTAGATCTATCGTTACCGTTGGATCCACGGTGACTTTCCCCTCGTTGATCTCGTGAACTTCTCGAGTGTGGTGGGGTTGAACCGTTTTGTGGAGTATTTATTCTCTCCAGATCAGTCGTTACTTTACTTAGACCCCCACGGTCCAGCGTTACTGGGACTTAATCACATAGATTCTCCTCCCCCGGTCTTGAATCATGTCCCACATTGATATCACCAAAGACCTGTCGGCCCTCTTCAACAAACAGGTTCTCGCGACCCCCGACGCCCTCGCCTTGGAAGACGGAGAGACCACCTATACCTATAATGAGTTGGCACAGGAGGTGGACCGCCTGGCTCAACGCCTGCGCGATTACGGTGTGAGTCGGGACAGTCTGGTGGGCGTCCTGCTGCCGCGGAGTGCCCATTATGTCATTGCCTGTCTGGCCGCTCTTCGGGCGGGAGGCGCCTTTCTGGTCCTCGAGCTGGCCTACCCGCCGGATCTGCTGGCCGATGTGTTGGCGGATGCCACCCCGGCCGTCGTCCTCACCCACAAGGCGGAAGCGGCCAAGGTCGGTGGCAGCGCTCCCTTGATCCTGCTTGACGAACCGCTGGCGGAAGTCAATGGACATGCGAAGGAAGCGTCCCCGCTGCCGGCGGACGATGACCTCGACCGACTGGCCTTTGTGTCCTACTCCTCCGGCACCACGGGCAAGCCGAAGGGCATCGCCAACCCCCACCGCGCCCCCGTGTATTCTTACGACCTGAGATTCACCGTCCAGGACCTCCACCCCGGCGATCGTGTCGCCTGTAACGTCTTCTTCATCTGGGAGATCCTCCGCCCGCTCTTGCGGGGCGCCACCGTGGTGACCGTGCCCGACGAAATCAGCTACGATCCGGCGGCGCTGGTCGATCTCCTGGAATCCAAGCACATTACCGAAACCTTGATGACCCCCACCCTGTTGGCCACTGTCCTGGTCCGACACCCCCATCTGGACACCCGTCTGCCCCAGCTCCGCACCTTGTGGCTCAACGGCGAGGTGGTCACCACCGATCTCGGACGGCGGGCCACCAAGTGTCTGCCCAACACCCGCTTGCTCAATTGCTACAGCACTTGCGAGACCCACGAGGTCGCCTGTGGCGACATTCGGGAGATGTTGACGAGCGACGCGCAGTACTGCCCCGTGGGACCGCCCCTGGACCCGGAGCGGACGTACATTCTGGACCAGGAGGGTCAGCAGCTACCCGTGGGAGTGAGTGGGGAGCTGTTTGTCGGAGGCCCGCTCCTCGCCCGGGAGTACCTCAACCTGCCCGAGGCTACCCGCAAGGCCATCACCCCCGACCCCTTCGACCAGACCCCGGGATCCCGGATGTACCGCACCGGCGATAAAGCCCGCATCCTGGACTCGGGCTTCCTCGAGATCACCGGGCGCGTGGGGGACATGATCAAGCTCCGCGGGTATTCCGTCGTGCCCGCCAAGGTCGAAAACGAAATCATCAAGCGCCTGGCGGTCAGCAGCTGTGCCGTGTTGGCCCACGGCGACGGCCTGGAAAAGGAGCTGGTGGCGTACGTGGTCCGCGACCGGGACGATTCCGCCGATCGGCCCCAGATCGAGATCAACCCGTCGGGCCACAGCCCGGTCGCCCGCCGCGCGCTGCTGCCGTACCTAGCGCAGTACATGATCCCGGCCCAGTGGGTGGAGTTGCACGAGCTACCCACCCACGGGGTCTCGGGCAAGGTCGACCGCAAGGGCCTGCCGCCGCCACGGAGTGCCAGCCCGGCCGTCAACGGCGCGGAGGAGTCGGAGCGCGATCCGATCGGCCTCGACCATATCGCCGCCTTCTGGGCGGCCAGCCTGAAGACGTCGCAGTCCCTCCTGCGGCGCGAAGACAACTTCTTCGACCTGGGTGGACACTCGCTGTCCATCGCGGATCTCGCGTCGCGGCTGACGCGAAACTTCGGCTTCACGGTCCCGATCGCCCGCCTGGCCGAGAACGCCACCCTGGACGGCCATCTGCAGACCGTCCGCGCGGTGCGCGACGGACACACCGCGGCGGTGCAGGCCGATCTCCCCGCCTTCCTGCGTGCCGACTCAACCCTCGACGAGGACATTCGACCCACCGGTGCCCGCATCTGCTCCGTCACGGACGCCGACACCGTCCTGCTCACCGGTGTCACCGGATATCTGGGCGCGTTCCTCCTCCACGACCTGCTGGAGAGCACCACCGCCCGGATCATCTGTCTGGTCCGTTTCACGGACCCGGCGGGCGACGACCGATCGGGTGGTGTGGCGCGCATCCGGCGCAATCTCCTGGACATGGGCCTGTGGCGTGATTCCATCATGGAGCGGGTGGAGGTTCTCCCGGGTAACCTATCGCGACACCGCCTGGGCCTCTCGCGCGACACGTTCGACGCGCTGGCGAGCCGCGTGCAAGTCATCGTCCACGCCGCCGCAACGGTCAACCTCGTGTATCCGTACGCCGCCCTGCGCGCGGCCAACATCGGCGGTACCAAGGAAATCCTGCGCCTCGCTTCCCAAGGCGGCGCGACCGTGCAATACGTCTCGACGAACGGCGTGCTCCCGCCGCACCCAAGCGAGAAGGGCTGGACCGAGGACGCCACGTTGGACGTGGACGAAGTCCCCACCAAGCTCCTCGACGGATACGGACAGACCAAGTGGGTGGCAGAGCGGCTGGTCCTTGAAGCCGGCCGTCGCGGCCTCCCGGTCAAGGTTCACCGCGCGGGCACAATCAGCGGTCACAGCCAGACGGGCGCTGCGAACGCGTGGGACCTGCTCTCCGCGCTCTTCGTCGAATCCATCAAACTGGGCTATGCCCCCGACGTCGACGGCTGGCGCGCGGAGATGACCCCCGTCGACTTTGTCAGCAAGTCCATCATCCACCTCTCCGCCCAGACCCACGCCGAGACCACTGTCTTCCACCTCGGCGATCCCAGCCCCGTTAGCACGCGCTCCGTCTTCGACCACCTTGCCGAGCTCGGGTATCCCACGCGACGCCTGGGCTGGGAGGACTGGGTCGCGCTGTGGACGGAGAAGCGCGGGTCCGTCAAAGGCGGCGACGGCGCCTTTACAGTCGACATCCTTCGCAGCGGCATGCCCACCGTCGACTTCCTCAAGGGCATCGTTGTGCTCGACAACGCCGCCACGCGCCCCTTCCGCGCAGTTGTCGAACGCCCCAAGGTCGACAGCGTCCTGATGGAGACGTACACCCGCCACTGGTTCGCCCGCGGCTGGCTCTCCAAGCCCCCCTCCCGCACCACCCCGCTCCCAATCCGCCCGCGCGGGCCCCTCAGCGGCCGCGTCGCCGTCATCACCGGCGCGTCCTCCGGCATCGGCGCAGCGGTCGCCAAGGCCCTCGCCAGAGAAGGCTGCCACGTCGCGCTGGGCGCCCGTCGCCTCGACGCCCTCAAATCCATCCAGCAACAGGCCCAATCCCACGGCGTGAAAGCCATCATCCGCGCCACGGACGTAACCAACAAGTCCCAAGTCGAAGACCTCGTCCGCAGCGCGCGCAGCGAGCTCGGCCCCGTCGACTACATCATCGCCTGCGCAGGCGTCATGTACTTCACGCTCATGGCGAACACGCAGACCGACGAATGGGAGCGCACAGTCGATGTCAACTGCAAGGGTCTGCTCCACGCGCTGTCGTCCACCGTGCCGGACATGCTCGCGCGCGGCTCCGGCCACGTCGTCGCCATCTCCTCCGACGCAGGCCGCAAGGTGTTCCCCGGGCTGGGCGTCTACTCCGCCAGTAAGTTCTTCGTCGAAGCCACGCTGCAGGCGCTGCGTGTTGAGACCGCGGGCACCGGGCTGCGCGTTACGGCTATTCAACCGGGTAATACCCAGACGGATTTGCTGGGTATGTCGACCGACGAGGAGGCTGTCAAGAAGTACGGTGGTGCCTCCGGAGCGCAGATTCTGAGCCCGGATGATGTGGCGGGTGCGATTGTTTATGCGCTGCGCCAGCCGGCGCATGTTTCTGTTAATGAGGTGTTGATTGAGCCGAGGGATGAGCCCATTTGAGCGTTAGATGTTATAGATAGATACGAATTACGCTGCTTGGTATATTTGATTAACTACATTCCGCTTATATAGTAGGTACTATGCAATGATAGAAGATGAGCTAGCCGGATTAGCAGCCTTGATTGCAAGGCCAAGAAACTCGGGCCGGTCCTTGGGGCGGGTCACGAAATGATTATATTTCTACTTGTATTACACCCGGTTCCTCTATCCCGGTTGATCTTGGTTGAAGTGTTGATCTGGAATAAATTACTTCATCCTCGATACTAGGGCTGATACCATCTACTGCCAAATCTATACGGTGTTGACAATCCCGTGGTCAAGCCATGGGAATCCATTCGGGAGAACAGCCGCCTATCTCGATCTCAAACCGAGTTACCGAATCTCCCGCCAGTCAAGCCTCGCCAAGCAATGGTCTCTAAATACTCCACCGCACCTAACTGACTCATACCACCTCCAGCCTAGTCCACCGGTGTCAGAAACTCTCACATGTGGATACTTTCTACCAAATGGTGTCGGAATACCATATCAGCCATATCAAACCCGACCAAGCCGATTCGGTGGCTGTGGCTATCAATCTGGCTATCACGGCTACTTAGTCGATATGGGTCCGGTGGAGACATGTTAGTCTTACACAACTAAGTGTCTTACCGACGACCGACAACCGATGACAATGGCAAAATTAAAGACGGTGCGAAACGAAACGATCTCTCCCGACGGGTTTGATTTGATGATTTTCAAACAGCCGAGTTGTGGTGTGGTGTCATGCTTTCGTTGTTTCGGTTGATACATTCCGAGGGTAGAATTTTCTGCACCTACTAACATTCCTGCTGATGTTGAAGAAATTTTATTGTTGGTCAAGGGGTATAAAACAAAAAAAGAAACGATTCCTTTCTAGTCTACCTTCAATCGCTTTTCTCGATTGATTGAGTTGAATTTCCTGCCCCGAACAGGTCGAGGACCACTGATCATGCTGGACGACGTGGAAAACAAACCTCACTCTCCCCTGTCAGGAGTCTACCGTGCCAGTATCCCGTACTGGCGCATGCTCACTGACCAGGCCGCCATCACCCAGGAGGTCCTAGACTATGACTACCCCGGGTCAGGCACCGAAGAAGACCCGTACTCCGTGTCGTGGATCCCCAATGATCCGCGCAACCCTATGCAGTTCAGTACGATGCGCAAGCTGTCTATCACCCTGATTGTCGCCTTCTCCACAATGGTCGTCTCCCTGACGTCCTCCGCCTACAGCGGCAGCGTCGGGGAGGTGGTCGCGTACTTTGGCGTCAGTACCCAGGTTGCCACCCTCGGGCTGTCCCTCTTCGTCTTGGGTTTCGCCGTGGGACCCCTGCTGTGGGCTCCTTTGAGTGAGGTATGGCAAACCTCTTCCGTACAAAGCTTCCAGTTAGACTCACAGTTCGTCAGGTAGTTGGACGTCAGGTTCCATTCTTCTGCAGCTTCTTCCTAATGTCCGCCTTCTCCGCCGGCTGCGCAGGCGTCCAAAACATCTGGTCCCTGCTGATCCTGCGCTTCTTCGCCGGCGCCTTCGGCTCCTCCCCCATAGCCAACGGCGGCGGCAGCATCTCCGACATGTACCCCGCGCGGCAACGAGGTCTAGCCCTAAGCCTCTACGCCGCGGCCCCGTATCTAGGCCCTGCCCTAGGCCCCATAACAGGCGGCTTCCTCAGCATGAACGCCGGCTGGCGCTGGGTCGAAGGCTTCCTCGCCGCCAGCGGCGCCCTCGTCTGGCTCCTCACAGCGGTTGGCGTGCCCGAGACCTACGCGCCTCTCCTCCTCCGCCGGCGCGCCGCCCGCCTCTCGCACATCACCGGCAAAGTCTACCGCAGCAAAATCGACATCGACAAGCCCCGCCTCCCCCTCACCCGCCTCCTCGCCGTCTCCCTCTCCCGCCCCTGGGTCCTTCTCATCCGCGAGCCCATCGTCTCCCTCTTCGCAACCTACATCGCCATCGTCTACGGCACCCTCTACATGCTCTTCGCCGCCTTCCCCATCGTCTACGAGCAAACCCGCGGCTGGAACCCGGGCGTCGGCGGCCTCGCCTTCCTCGGCGTCATGGTCGGCATCATAATCGGCATTCTCTGCACCATCCCCGCAAACTTCCACTACATGCGCGTCCAGGACGCCCACGGCGGCTTCGCACCCCCCGAAACCCGCCTCGTCCAGTGCATGCCCGCCGCCATCGCCATCCCCATCAGCCAGTTCTGGTTCGCGTGGACCAATCACCCCTCCATCCACTGGTCCGTCAGCATCATCGGCACCGCGCCCTTCGGCTTCGGCCTCATTCTCATCTACCTGGGGGTCATGAACTACTTGATTGACTCGTATACGATATACGCGGCTTCCGTGCTGGCCGCTAATGCCGTGCTGCGGTGTATCTTTGGCGCAGTGTTCCCGATTATTGCTACATATATGTATGATGGGTTGGGGATTCATTGGGCGCCGAGTATTCCGGCATTCTTGTCGCTGTTGTGTATGCCGGCGCCGTTTTTCTTCTATAGGTATGGGGCGGCTATAAGGACCAGGTGTAAGTATGCGGCTGAGTCGCATCGCTATTTGTTGAGGTTGATGGAGGATGCGGGGCAGCAGAAGAGTGCGTTGGGTGAAAAGAATGGGGTGAAGACGGAGCCTATTGTTACGGTGGAGAAGGGGGCGCGAGATTGATGCTACATCATGTCTAATGTTTAAAGTGCATATAGAGTGCGAATATAGAGTACGAATATAGAGTATAGACCACTGTCACTACTACAATCATCCTAATCCTGGCAGACTACTAGCAGTATATGAGCCGTATACTTCCGCGATGCCAGATCTATATACGATGCGATACATACTACCTAAATACCATCCAAAACAACCCCAAACCAAATATCAACCCACCACCAACCGCGGCGCCCCAACCCTATCCGCCTCCCTATTCAACGCCTCAATCTCCCCCTCCACAAACGGAATCCCCTCCCTCATCCTCTCCTCCTTTACAATCAACTCAATCTCCCCAGGATAATAAATCCTGTCCACCCCCTCCATCCTCTCCCCCCCAACAACCCTCCTATACAAATAATCCATCCTCTCCTTAAACTCCTCCAACCCCATAAACAAATCCGGCCGAATCGCCACCAAAAAATGCCCCACATCCGCCTCCCTCTCATTCTCACTATCATACGGCCCAACCACATTCCCCCCAAACGCAGACCCAGACAACACCCCCGAAAACACATCCATCATAACCGCCAACCCGCTCCCCTTCGGCCCCCCCATAGGCAGCATCACGCCCTCCAGCGCAGCACGCGCATCAGTCGTCCTCTTCCCCTCCCCATCAAGCGCCCAATCCCCCGGGATCTCCTCCCCCCTTCGCGCAGCCTTATAGATCTTCCCCCGCGCAGCAACAGAAGGCGCCATATCCAATACAAAAGCCGGCGACTCCCCCGCCGGCGCCCCACACGCAATGGGACTAACCCCCAGCAGCTTCTCCCTCCCGCCCCAAGCAGGCAACGCCGGCGAACTATTCGTAAACACAAGACTCATCATCCCGCTGTCGAGCGCCTGCTGCACCAGCCACGCCGACATGCCGAAGTGGTTACTGCGCTTCACGCTCGCCAGCCCGATCCCGTAGATCTGCGCCGAGTCGATGGCGGCTTGCATGCCGGCGTGCGCGGCGACGAACCCGAACCCGTTTTGTCCGTCGATGTGGGCTACGACGGGGGTGGTTTGCGTTATGGTGGGGGTTGCGGACCCGTTTAGGGTGCCGCGCCGGAGACGTTCGAGGTAGGACGGGAGGCGGTTTATGCCGTGGGTGTCGACGCCGCGGAGGTCGGCTTGGATGAGGGCGTGGGATATTGTTTCGGCGTGGGATGCGGGGATGTTGTTCTTTTCGAGGAGGGTGAGGACGAAGGTTTTGGCGTTGTGGGGGGTTATGTGGTGGTATTCTTGCTTGGTGGGTTGGGCCATTTTGGTTGTATGATGTTGAGATGTTGTGGTTGGGGATGGGGAATGGTATAGTACCTAGTTGTAGAGGAGGAGACGGTGTAGTTGGAGAAAGATGGTGTAGTTGATGGAGAGTGGACCGTCTGTTTTATACTGTCGGATGTCCCCGCACTCCGGCTTTCTTCCGAGATTGGTTGGCACTACTAAGTATACTAACTTGTAGTCATATCATATTCATTGAGTCATAGAACAATACTAGAAAAATTATAATCAACCATAAAACCAATACTCCGCCGCGTATTCCACCTCAAAAAACTCCTTCTGTCCCTCGCACGTAGGCGGCGCATTCCCCCCCGCCGTATACACTCTATATATCTCCTGGACGCCGCTACCATCCGTCTTCACCAGCTTCAACCACGGCGCATCGTCCCCTGCATTAGCATTCACCACGAAAGGCGTCCCGCTAGCGTCCTTCTTCGCCAGTACCCAGTCATCCTCGTCTCCGCCGTGTCCAAACTCGAACAACGGCGTCCCGTCAGCAAGGAAGTAATGCCGTCCGATGACAAGGTTCTTTTCTTCCGCTCCCCAGAAGAACACCCTGTTCAACAACCACGCTGCCAGCTGCAGCGGCTGGAGGGGAATCATCTTCACGACACCCACGACAGACGATAAGGCTCGCTGAGCGTCTGTCTTTTGCTGTGCGGCGAGGCAGGAGCCGTCGAAGAGGGTCGCGACGGCTCCGATTTGAGTCGGTGCGGTGGTTTTGTCGCTGCCCGCGCAGGTGTAGTTTTGGGTTCCGCGGCCGATGGCGAGGTGTTTGAGCGTCAGGCCGTTGGCTGGTGTGGGGAGACTGGGCTTGGTCTGGTTGAGGGGGAGGGAGAGGTTTTTGGGGATGGTGCAGCGGGCCCATTTTGTTGTCGTGAGAGTGGATGTCACTTCCTTGATGGCTTGGTTGGAATCGTCTGTGTCGGTAGGGTCATGCCGGGTGGGAAAGGCGTGTGCTCCCAGGAGGAGGGACAGAAATAGGAGTACCCTGAAGGAAAGCATTTCGGTTGTGGTGTATAACAGGAAGAAATTGAGCAAGGTAGTAGGGACAATCTCGATGGATCATGTCGTGTTTATAAACAGGACGAGGCACACCCCCGTTATGTGAGACATGCTCATGTCCACGCTCGCTCGGTATATCCTGCCGTTGTAACCCAGTGTGAGCTGTGCATCAAACGAACCCGGCTCGCAGCCACAGTCAGTGCACAGGTCCAGTGCGCCTTGCGGGTAAACACTGATTGACTGGAAGCGTACCATAATGGCTTTCGTCTGTCTGCAGTCGAAGGAATGTTGGTTCTGACACTGCCTCTTTGGATATCTCTTGTGGCATTGTCAAGAGCTCGTTGTTATCGATTTCTGCTACTTCGGATCCACTCCCCATCAGCGATATCAAGTCCAACAGACAAAACACGTTTCAGTGCTAGCTTTCTTCAGGTTAATAGAACCAGGCCCCATGACAGACAACCTCATCTCTGCGACGCGGGGGTAAAAATAGCTTCGCTAGCCGCCCTGTGATCCTTTGTGAGATGAGTGTCATTATAGATGTGTCTCCATAATCCTTGCAGTCGCACAGAAAGCTTCTTATACAGCGCGTAGGCGTGGTATTCGGAAACCACTGCCTGGCCAGAGGCTGGTGGAAAGAAGAGGCGAGGCAGTAAGACCGAACTAGACAGTATCCGGGCTGACAATTAAGCGCCCGGGAACAATCCTGGAAATCATCTGCGATCCAGAACGAATCGCTCCCTCGTGGTCAAACCTTGTTATTTTGGGTCATTTGGCTAGGAAGTTTAATCTCCGATGGGTTGGTTGCACTGCATGATGGTATTTAATTGTTGTTTCCAGAAGGATGGTTAGTTGGTGTTGTCATGACATACTGTACATCCTGTTGGATGGTATACTTGGGTAGGACACGATCTAGAAGGGACAGTCAGGGCGTATATTATCATATCAACCTTCTCATTACTGACTGGATTATCTGGGTTAAACACGACCAGGTTGTAACTGTGATTGTCGGTGACGGCAGAAAGACCATGGTTGTGCGTGGTCTTTAGACACAAAAGCGTGGTCTTTCCGCGCTGCGCGTTGGCGCCGGGAACATCCTAGGAAGGCTATATCCAGTTTACTTGAGGGCCATTTCTTGAGGTTAAAAACATTAGTGTGCTTTGATGCACTCCACGCGTACACCAGATGAGTAGACAAGGATATAGAAGGCCTATATGTAGTCTCGTAAATCCCTCCGTCCCCAAGGTCCGACTCCCAGCTAGTCCAGCAACTCGCCCGTCGGTGTCTGACACCTCGTTTGCAGTGTTGAGAGTCAGTCACGTTTACCACCTGATGGACGTGCAATGGTGAGGCAGGGTGTGGACCTCAACCCTTGAGCCACGAAATATAGGCACGATCCAGTAGTGATGTCACCTGCTACTGCTTGGTTTGATTACTATTTGTTAGGTATATCAGTCAGGTTAAGCCCTATACCAAACGTTGGTCACGTTTTGGTATAGCGGTATTGAGATGCTTCGTACCCGACGTCCAAGGCCCTTGTCTGAATTCCGGTTCAAGACACATGACGGGTACTGGTTTCATGTTTGCATGATTATTTCCGTTCGTTATCGATATGTATGCAATCCGTAAGCCCCTCCTCAAAGAAAAACATCATATTGCTCTAAATGCTCTCATCTAAACGCTCTAGCCTCGGTCTAACTGAATAAAATCCACCCTGGCCTATATAGGCTGATACTCCCACCGTAACTCCGCGATAGTCGTTTTAATCCATTTGAGTCACAGCATGAGGCTATGACGTTGGACAGTTCTCTATTGCTTCTTCACCTTGGTCTTCTTAGGCACCCGAGCCAACCAGTATAAACCGATCGCTGAGAACACGTTGAAGACGACGAACACCCACATGAGACCAAAGTTGCGCCATCGGTTCGTAAAAGAAATGCTGACACTCGAGAGAAACCTGTTGGTCTCTGAGATTTGGCAGAAGCGGCACTCGTCGGTGGCCTTGGAGTCTTGGACGAAGCCGCCGGCCATGGCAATATATGATCTCATGTATTCGCCGCATGTCGTACCGTTGGGAAGATTGAAGAAGACAAACTCGTTGTCCGCGCACGTGGCTGGTGCATTCGAAAGGGCTGTACCGACAAAACCATCGACAAAATATGTAAAGGGGTTGACGCGATACATGAAGATCCAAAAGCCTGGCATCTGTGTCGGACTGGCAAGAATACTAGTGACTAGTCAGTAGCTGTGCGTTAAGAAAGAGGGAACGGTGGAACAGATATACGACATACCCGCAAAACGTGAACATCATGACGGTTAGAAGTCCGACAATTCCGCCAGCCACCTCAGCACTGTCAATACCAGCAATGATGAGATGCGAAAAGGTGCTTGAGAACAAGAAGAAGACCCAGATAAAGAGGAAGACCAAGACACCACGGGAGTGTTCAGCATCAGTATATCGCGCGTTGCGGTACAGGCCCATTGGGAAGTACCAGAAAAAGAAGCTGAAAAGAGAAAATACCTACATTGTGTTAGCAGTGGACAGGAATAGACTTGGGATGCCTGTTTACCGAGTTCCAGAAGGCTTCAACAAGCATGTTTGCACAGATGAAGGCCACCCATGAATAGCTCTTCGATGGGCGCTCGCGAGCCTCATACATGGTACGTTGAGAGACAAAGACGGGCAAAATTTGATCAACAAGCTGGCTGAAAATGGTGAGGAAGATGAAAACACCAAAGAGCTGATTCTGGAGACCACTTTGGGTATTGTCAATGTTGAGGAAAGACAGGCCAATAAACAGGGCCTAAGGTAAATGTCAGCGTACTTTCCCCGAATAATAAAGCGAAACGGCAATATCTTACTCCTCCAGCAGACAAAAATCCTTTTGACAGGACGTAGGTAGGACTGCGATAATACTGTTGAAAGACACGGCGGCAGACCTCCCTGAGCTGAAGCCCGAGAGGTGCAGCAAACTCGGATACGTGTACCGGCCCCAGTGAGGGCTCGTTGGAGCGGGCTTTGGACGACAGTCTGGCGAGCTCGTCTTGCACTTCACGGTACTCTGGGCTGTTACGCCACGCCACAGGCCAGTCGATGTCGCTACCTGAGCCAGGGGCGGCACCAATCACGTGCAGCATATGTTCAGCTGGGTTAGCCTCTGGCGAACAGGGAGCGCCGCCGTTGCGAACAAAATAGTCGAGAAGGGTCTGCGAGTTCTTGCCAATCGGGCCAAAGTATACTGTGCGGCCTCCCTTGGCAAGAAGCAGTAGTCGGTCAAAACGCTGAAAGAGGATAGCAGAGGGCTGGTGGATAGTGCAGAGGATAGCCTGGCCACTGTTTGTAAGCTTCTCCATCAGATCGCACATAGACCATGATGTCTGGCTGTCAAGACCTGAAGTAGGCTCATCGAGGAAGAGTAGCAACTTAGGTCGGGCGGCTAACTCGACACCAACTGTGAGTCTCTTGCGTTGTTCAACGTTGAGGCCTTCGCCTGGCACGCCAATGATGGCATCGGCATATGGCTGCATATCCAGTAGCTCGATGACGGTGTCCACGTAGGCTATCCTTTCCTCCTTTGAGTAGTTTGGGGGTTGTCTCAAGAGCGCGCTGAAAGTGAGGGCTTCTCGGACCGTCGACGTGTGCAAATGCAAATCTTGCTGCTGGACGTACCCCGTTTGACGTTGGAATGAGGCATCACGAGGGTTTCCGTTGACCAACATGCTTCCACTGATGACACCCATTGTAACACGGCTCGCCAGCACGTCAAGGAGCGTTGTCTTACCGGCTCCGGAGACACCCTAATATGCTACATCAGTATGCTTCAAAAGTTCAGGTAAGCGGTGGCCGACACGCACCATGAGTGCCGTTAGAGTTCCAGGCTTTACCCAGCCATCTACATGATCCAGAAGGCGGCGGGTCTCATCCTTGATCTTGACATCATAGCAGATGTCCTGCCAGTGAAAGACGGACGTAGCTTTCTCAATATTTGCAGTGCTTTCGTAAACGTTATCACCAGCGATGACCTCCTTAGTCGGCCGGCTGTCGGTAGTGGTCTCAATATCCTCAGCCTTTGGGGCATGCTTCTTGATCCCCTTGCGTGTAAAAACAAGGACTTCACCTTTGGAGCGTTCAGACGCCACCAATTCTACCGCAACCAGGTGGCCGACGCAGAAGGCGATACAGAAGGCGATCATAATGCCGATGTTACGCCACTTGTGGGCATTCTGGTATCCATACGATGTCTCGAGATAGGAAGAGCCACTGACAAAATTTGCAGCAGGAGTAGAGCCGGGCACGGTACAGACACGCTCGCTTGCTTCGATCGAGGAGTAGTCAGGTCCGGCCGGAACAAAGGAATCACATTCAAACATGCGTCCCACAAGCTCATTGGTCATGAGGCTGTCGAACCCGTAATGCACAGGGTTGACCCAACGCAACCATCCCAGCCATACCTGCATATATTGGATCTTGATGGCAAATCCAGTATACAAACAGATAATAAGGAGGATGACAGATGCTGGAGCCAAAGCCTGGGCAATGGTCTTGGTGAGCGATGCCATTAGCCTGAACATCATGGACATCGTAAGCGTGATGATGTAGACAACCAGCAGAAAAAAGAAAAATGGACCAGCTTCACGACGCATATTGCACATGAAGTAAAGTGCAATATTACAAATAATGGCGTTGACTGTTTTGTACGGCAGATCAATAATCATCGATGATAAAGCCTCAGAGCTAGGATGGTACAGCGCGTATCGGTTATGTTTCTCAACGATAGGTCGTTTGGCATATAACGTCATGATCTCTAGCATGCTGCCAAATGCGTTGCTCAGGATAATGAAGAAGAGAAGAGTGCCACGTCTTGTAAGGCTTTCGGAAGTGTTGGATAAGTTGTAGAAAATACTGGCCGTCATGAGAGACATGAAGAGGTTTGTCAACAACATTGTCAGAGTCATGCTCGGATCTGATTTCAGGAGGATCCAGTTTCTCCATAGAGTAAGCTTGACTTGCTGCCAGTATGAGAGGTTGAAAGGCGAGCCCTCGCGCTGTGATCTCGCCTGGTCGACCCGTCGTGAGGCCAGGAAGCTGTCATAGTGTTCGCTGTCGAAGGGATACTGAGCAAGGTACTGGTCAATCTCGACGTTGAGACAAGCCTGGTGCTGGCTTCGCATCCAAGCATCGGCGAATTCGTCAGGGCTACGTGGGGGGTTGGCCCCAGGGCGCACAACTCTTTCCCGGTGGCTGGTCATGGAAGTGAGAAAATCGGCCGTTGTCTGACGATCAGGACAGGCAAAGCCGAGCTCTTCGAAATAGGCTTTGGCTTGGTCGGTGCGGCCAAAGTAGATTTGCCGCCCTTCATACAGAACCACAACTTTGTCAAAGACCTATGTAGGGTGGTTAACATCGTATGATTATAATCAAGTCTCGGGTTTGAATCCTCGACTCCGCATACCTCGTAGGCGTCTTGGGATGCCTGATAAATGGCAACGCAAGCAGTTGTCCCTAAAACATCCGCCTGGATCCGCAAGGCTCGACAGAACTCGAGAGCATTGGCACTATCCAGGCCTCTCGTGCTGTTATCCCAACACTGGAGAGGAGAATGGTTGAGAGCGGCCTCAGCGATGGTAACTCGTTTTCTCTCGCCACCGCTAACACCACGAATAAAATCGTTACCGACACGAGTGTTCCTTGTATGCGAAATACCGAACATGGCCATCATGACATCACAAAGATGCTCGGCATACTCGTGGCGAGAGACACCGGGCGGCATTGTCTTGGGGCAACGAGCAAGTGCCGCGAAGTAGAGGGTGTCGCGAACTGTCATGTGAGGGAAATGGGCGTCGACCTCTGCGGTGTAGATGGCCTCCCCTCGGAAGCGACTTGCCATCTGGCTAGGTTGAATTCCCTGATAGTTTATTGTGGATTCGTCGTTGATGTGAAAGCCGTGGGTGTCGCCAGCTATCGTTCGCAGAAGCGTCGAGCAGCCCGAGCCGGGGGGGCCGAGAACGGCCAGCATCTCGCCGCTACGAACCACACCTTCGAGGCCGCGAAGGATCTCCATACGCTGCTGCTTCTGACGCAGCACTATGTTTTTGAAGTAGGTGACGCCCTCCAAGATGACGTTCCCCACCGTCTTCTGATAATCAGTCGCAGTGCCGAACCCGTGCACGCTGAGGTCTCGGAAGGCAATTCCGGCAGTTCTGGGCTTCACGCCCTCAACGCTGCTGTTGCGGAGCTGGAAAAACGCCTTGACCCATTTCCTCACACTGAATTCAGGGCTCTGAGGATCCAGAAACGCTTCGGCGGGGGCAGGGAATAGAGATGGTTGTGGATATTGGACATTGGACGTATATCGACGAGCCATTTGGGTGAGTTCTTCGTCCATCCGCATATCTTCTTTCATGGCAAGAGCACCATTCTCTTCGGCGCATTTAGAGGTATGCGCTCCCACGACCGTTCCATCAGAACGGACCGAGTCGGCGGCGTCGGGGTGCTCGGTCATGTCTTTAGTGCTAGTGGAAGACTGTCGCGGAGGGAGCAAGTCCAAAGGATGACAAGGTTGACAAGACGTGAAAAGACGTGATATGAGTTCGTTTTATTTGATTAATAGAGAGCAGGCAGCGGAAGAAATCTGTAACGAACGCAAAAGAATTGGCCAGGTCAGTCCGCGAAAGAAAGCAATATTTGTGTTATGGGTACGAAAGTCAAGATGTTCAAGGAATAAAAAGCAGAATGAGACAGCGGCGCCATCCTAGTTGCAGCAGGAATATTATTCAAATCCGGGATACGAAAAGCATTTCAAAGACCCCTGCCTATCACACATATACGTCTCAGCCTGTGGGAGCGGTGATGCTCCGGTCATTGTCGCGCTGCGCCGGTATCCGAAACACCGAGATTTCATTCTATATCAGTCGCATAGCCCGGTCTTTCGGACCTCCGTCTTTGCGCCAATCCCTACTCTATGCCATCCCGTTCAGTCATACTCATACATCAATTGTAAAGGTCAATTCTCTCCACAGCTCCACATCCGGAATTTGGGCTAATTTCTTGGCGGTAAGAGTGGCGCGAAGGAATCTAATACCATGGATTCCCCTCGCACTTTCGGCTCCGTCCACCTCCGCTTCCCAAACCGCGCACGCCCATACCTCTGAGTGCGAAGAGAGCTGATAGGAGATTGATGTGCTTGTATCCAGCCTCATAGTACACTATGTCTGCCGCGCAAGAGACCGAAGCTGCCGCCGCACCGAGAGCGGGACCCTCTCTCAAGGCAGTAAGTCCGGTCTTTATACATTTGTTCCCCTCTCCTCTTAGTTGTCCCCAGAAACAACATCTAGACATTGTTAATGGAACTGCTTCATTTAGTGTGATGGCTGCCGGCAACGAAAAGTGAGTCCTCCATAACACACCATCGGACTTTCGCTCCATCGTGCTTTAAGTCTTGACTTGATCTGGCCTCGCCTTGTGCTTATGGCTCCGTAGGTACGCTGCAACAAAAGATCACCTTGTTCGAACTGTGAGCGAGCAGGCCGCCAATGTGTGACCTTACCACGTGTCGCTAGAGCCAAGCGCTGCCAAACCCCAGGACTCTCTAACTAGTGAGTAAAGACCTATCCTCCGTGTGCGATTCAGAGTCCATCGCTCTAATGACACTCAAATAGCGATGTGAAGATTAGTAGCATTGACGAAAGACTGGATCGAATGAGTCAGGTTCTAGAAACTCTGGTTTCGGAAGAGACCAAGAGCCAGCGAGCGACGGCCTCTATGGAAAGCGCCAGTCCCATGAGCCTGCATTCGTCTTCGAGTCAGAGACCTCTCTCCAACTATCTTACCGGGCCGCATGACCTGCCCCGGAGTGATGATACTTCCGACAAACAAAAGCGCAAGCAGGACAAGAATAATCCGGTCGAGGGCCCGTCGTCGTTTTCTGCGCACTCGACGCATGCCATTAATTTCCTTAACAAGGTCGCTGAGGCTAAATGTGACGACTGTGACAGCAACGAGATAGAAGAGCTACTGGATTCCATGCGTGCCATTGTTGACGCCGTCAAAGTTCGTCGACAGTCAACCCAATCCCTTTTCCCACTTGCGATTCCCAGCACAACCCAATGCACACCAGCTGAACTCCCACCTATCCAGGTGGCGGTAGCCGTGATCCGAAAAGCCCAAGGTAAATTCCCTTCACTTTTATTTTTCATTGCCCTGCAACAATTTTGTGCGCCGTGGAGCCTAGCAGCTGACAGGGAAGCTAGAGCAGGGTGATCTGGTCCTCAACGTTCTGAATGAGCTGCTACACAGTCGAAGTCTGTCAGACATGTGCATGACGGTTTATTTTTCGCAAGATTACTCAGATGCAGAGTTCATCATCGTCAACCTTGCTATATACTGTGAGTGAAAGGGCCGAAAGTCTCACCAGCCAGTGTATCATGTATCGCGCGCCGAAAACGTTCTACTAAGATGCCTTGTTCCTAGTTTTGCTCTCCAACACCGAGTCAACGGTAACAGGAGACGAAGTGAGAGACCGAAAGCATACAGAGAATTACCTCTTGCTCCAGCGAAATGCTGAAACAGCTCTATCAAGACTGTCCCTATACGTCGAAGCCTCCCACAACATGACACTGGCTCTTGTCCTTGGAGTATGAACATGCCTTGAAGATCGGTTACTTACATTTCAACGACTAACTGCACGAACACTACAGGCGATCTATGCAGTCGACATCTCGAGGCCCTCCCTGGCTTGGACACTCATTTGTGCATCTTATCAAAGTGCCTACTCGCTCGGCTATCACACATGGGCACGTGGGTCAGACCAGTCCTCTAACACACCAAACAAATTCGGGCTGCTGTTTTGGGTCATATACTACTTGGAGAAGCATTTCTGCATACGACTTGGTCGTTGTTCCATTATAATAGATACCGAGATCACAGTTCCTCTTCCAGGTTCTCCTGGCGCAGCAACCAATCCCGGGATGGACTACTGCCACCTCATCGTTAGGACCGGAAGTCTGGCCAGTCGCATCTACCAAGAGCTCTATAGCACGCAGGCTACTGGTCTTCCAGACGACCTGCGCGCACAAAAAGCGTTGAACTTGTCGCAAGAATTGTGCGGCATACGGGATGAGTCTCGAAGGGCCATTGTATGATATTCATCGTCTCTCCATCAGTCTATGTTTGACTTGGTCGGCTGACTGTTCCGCGCCCCATCTCTAGCAGTCCTGGGCCCAGTATCGCTCGGACCATGATCTGCCTGGTGTGGACATGATTAAGCACCTGGCCAACTTGGATGAGGTATTCTGGTGGTCCACGCTCACACTTATATATCGAGCTGTTCCGCCCCAGCCCGACTTTACCGTCAATTTTGCGGACGAATGCATCATCGCTGCTCGAGCAGCTCTTGAGTCGCACCAGAAGATCACTTCATCCTTCGAACTAAATAGATTGAGACCCCTTTCATCTTACATCAACTGGTGAGTCAAAATCTCCAATCGAGCTAAGTATAAGGACCGCAAAGACGCTAACGGTAAAAAAATCAGGTTGATTCTTTCTTCTCCGTTCGTCCCTTTTATCGTTATATTCTGTGATGTCATAGAACATGAAAACACTAACGACCTCGACATCATGCAAGCTTTCATAAGTTCTATCGAGTCTGCCGCTCACTGCTCTGTCCCAATTGCTAGACACCACAAACTCTTCCAAGTATTCCACGAGGTGGCACGGCGCTTTCTGCAGCTGAAAGTGAGTCAAACACCGTCACAGCAAGGTCATGAGGAGCTTAAAGCCCAGATGAACCGCTGTCTTGGTGCGCTGGGGTTACACCAACCGCGCAGTGTGCAAAATGGATGGAGCGATAGTTTGACGTCTCTGCCTCCTATGGTGTCAACGCAATCTGCCGTTCACAATTTGGAGATACCCGTCAGTATGGAGCAACCTGTGCAGACGATGAGTTGGTATGCTTTCGGCCAGCAGATGTTCGAGTCATTTGGTAATGACCAGCCGCCTTTCTCGGGCGGCTTGGACATATGAGCAGCCTGGGCAGTGGATCGCTGGCCAGCGGACTCTACTCAGTGAGCTTTACACAAGTGAGATCTGGCTCTCTTTGGATTGGCTAGTCATAATATCAAAAAGGTATTCAACTATTTGCGGGTCAGATTGGTTCAAGTCTAGCTGGATTAGACTCATGTGAAGATCGTGTTATGATAATGCTTTTTAATTACTATCATATTTTATCATTTCACGTCGTAATAGGCTTGGTATGTTATTTGCTCGTCTTTCATCGTAGTTAAAGCTATAACATAGTGTATTATTGTTCTATATATTTCTATAAGAACCCCTCCTTACTTTGATTCGAAGCTTCTATTATAGTGAAGATAGGTTTTTATGTTATTAAAATGACCCTTTCTCAAAAAATAAGCTAAGTAGTCAGGAAGAGCACATACGTATAAGCTAACCCGTAATAATGGGCTTCGTACGGAGTAGAATGTCTGGACGTCCAAGGGCGGGAACCGCGGAATCCGAAATGCGGCAGTGCCGAGCATACTATTTACTGAAGATTGTCTGTATTATTTGCCGGACTCGTCTTCCATTGTGCGCTGTACTTTGGTGATTTGAATGGGGCTTGAAACCGGACTTTCGGGTGGCCGAATGTACGAAATTCCGGGATGGTATTTCCTGTTTGATAAGTACCGAATTAGATGTCACTTCCCTCGTAGAAGAAGACTTGAGGGGAAGGGAGTTTCGCTGCGAAGGAAGAACGCTTCTTTTAAACAAGCCAAGACTTCACCTGAGAGAAGGGGAACACTATACCAGATCCAGTGGTTCGCTGTCACCGCAGACGGAGTACTCCGCAGAGGACTGTCAAATGCATAATGCTGTTTGATGCCTTAGGCAACAAATTTTGATATCACGTGGTTTTGTTTCGGATTAGTCATTCCTTAGTCACAGAACTGACGCCAACTTCATCCTTTCGCGCAGAGTATTTTCTCCGTATCATCATCAGCGATACAACCCAACATCATCTCTAGTACGCCGTTCTCGCGGTGCCCTATCCGGATGTAGCTGCTGCTGCCCATGCTTGGGATTATCGGCTCTCTTTCACACCCGTGAGGTTCGCACAAACGCCATCATGTCTGACTGTCGGTCCACACCAACCTCCCCCCCATCCCCCATCCCCACATGACATTCCGCTGATACCATCCACAGCCGATTTTGAGGCCGTTCGAAAGCTCCAGGCGGAGCGCAACGCTGCCGCAGCTGGGAGTAAAGGTTCTAGGACCTTTGATCCGTCTAGCCAGCGCACTGACAACTCGACCAAGGCCTCCATGACGGAATCCTTCGACACGACCCTGTACGACCGCGGTGGCGCCGAGAAATTTGCCGGCTATGATACTTCGATTGCGGTCGACGGTGAGGATGAGGAGATGGAAGATGCCGATGCCGGCCACCGCTTGGTCGGCCAATACACTGCCACCAGTAGCCAGATGGACGAGTTCGCCCGCGGAAATGGGGTCGAGGAGGAAGACGCCCTGCTCGGGCGCGAAAAGGCTGCCCGGATCGCCGACCGCGAGTCCGATTATCAGAAGCGCCGGTTCAACCGCGGTGGCCTGACCCCTACTAGGGCCGATCCGTTCGCCGCGAACTCTCAGGCCAACGAGGGGGAAGGCCAGAGCTATCGTGAAGTCATGGCCCTCCGCGAGCTTGAAAAGGAAGAACAACGGGTTCAGAAGCTGATCTCTGACAGACAGGACTCGGGTGAAAATGGTGTTCCCGAGCATGAGGCCACCTTGACGGCGGGGGACAAGGAAAACGAAGACGCCGGTTCGACGGTTGCTGCCACAGGACGCAAGCGCAAGCAACGGTGGGATGTGTCAACGGAGCCGACCGACGAGAAAGCCGAGGCTCCCGAGGCCCCCGAGTCAAAGCCCAAGCGATCACGATGGGACCAAACCCCCGTTCCCGGTGCTCCCGATGAAGGTCCCAAGCGCCGGTCGCGTTGGGATCAAGCGCCCTCCCTCACTGCTGCCACCCCCGTCGGCAATGCAGGCCTCGCCACCCCCATGCATCCCTCTCAAGCAGGCGCTACGATGATACCAACTAGCTTTGGGACTGATATCTCCGGTCGAAATGCCCCGCTGTCGGACGAGGAGCTAGACATGATGTTGCCCTCCGAGGCAGACGGCTACAAGATCCTGGAGCCTCCTCCGGGCTATGCCCCGATTAGGACACCCGCACGGAAACTCATGGCAACCCCGGCTCCCGTTTCCAGCTCCACTGGCGTCGGGGGCTTCATGATGCAGGAGCCCGAGAGCGTTCGCTCCTTGGGCAAGCAGCTGCCCACCGATATCCCTGGAGTCGGTGATCTGCAGTTCTTCAAGCCGGAGGATATGGCCTACTTCGGGAAGCTGATGGAAGGCGGCGACGAGTCCGTCATGTCGGTGGATGAGATGAAGGAGCGCAAAATCATGAGGCTTTTGCTGAAGGTCAAGAACGGCACGCCGCCCATGAGAAAGACTGCCCTGCGTCAGCTCACGGACAATGCACGACAATTTGGAGCCGGCCCGCTGTTTAATCAGATTCTCCCTCTCTTGATGGAGAAGTCGCTTGAGGATCAAGAACGCCATTTGTTGGTCAAGGTCATTGATCGTGTGCTGTACAAATTGGACGATCTGGTTCGCCCTTATGTGCATAAGATTCTCGTTGTCATTGAGCCCCTCCTCATCGACCAAGACTACTACGCCCGTGTTGAAGGTAGGGAAATCATCTCCAACCTGTCAAAGGCGGCTGGTCTGGCCACCATGATCAGTACCATGCGTCCCGATATCGACCACGTTGATGAGTACGTGCGTAACACGACCGCTCGAGCGTTCGCCGTCGTCGCCTCTGCCCTCGGTATTCCCGCCCTTCTGCCCTTCCTGCGTGCCGTCTGCCGCAGTAAGAAGTCGTGGCAGGCCCGTCACACTGGTGTCAAGATTGTCCAACAGATTCCCATCCTCATGGGTTGCGCCATCCTTCCGCACTTGAAGGGCCTGGTTGACTGCATCGCTGATAACCTTAGCGATGAGCAAGCCAAGGTGCGAACAGTCACGGCATTGGCCGTGGGAGCTCTGGCTGAGGCGGCCAACCCTTACGGTATCGAAAGCTTCGATGAGATCCTGAACCCCCTGTGGACGGGCGCCAGGAAGCAGCGTGGCAAAGGACTGGCTGCGTTCCTCAAGGCCGTCGGCTATATCATCCCGCTGATGGACGAGGAGTACGCCAACTACTACACCAGCCAGATCATGGAGATTCTTCTCCGCGAGTTCTCTTCCCCAGATGAGGAGATGAAGAAAGTGGTTCTCAAGGTGGTTTCGCAGTGCGCCAGCACGAATGGTGTGACGGCTGGGTACCTCAAGGAGCATGTTCTGACAGACTTCTTCAAGAGCTTCTGGGTGCGGCGCATGGCTTTGGACAGAAGAAACTACCGCCAGGTGGTCGACACGACCGTCGACCTTGGACAAAAGGTGGGCGTCGGCGAGATCCTAGAGCGTGTGGTGAACAACTTGAAGGACGAAAGCGAGCCATACCGAAAGATGACTGTGGAAACGGTGGAGAAGCTCATTGCCTCTCTCGGGGCTGCCGACATCTCGGAGAGACTGGAAGAGCGGCTGATCGACGGTGTGCTCCACACATTCCAGGAGCAAAGCATCGAGGACCTCGTGATTTTGAACGGGTTTGGAACCGTCGTGAATGCGCTCGGCACCAGGTGCAAGCCGTACCTGCCGCAGATCGTCAGTACCATCCTCTGGCGACTGAACAACAAGTCCGCTACGGTCCGTCAACAGGCCGCAGATCTCATCTCACGGATTGCCATGGTCATGAAGCAATGCGGTGAAGATGCGCTAATGGGCAAGCTTGGTATCGTACTGTACGAGTATCTGGGTGAAGAATACCCCGAGGTGCTTGGTTCGATCCTGGGAGCTCTGCGTTCCATCGTTACCGTCGTGGGTATCAACCAGATGCAACCGCCCATTCGCGATCTCCTCCCCCGTCTTACGCCCATCCTGCGAAACCGCCACGAGAAGGTGCAAGAGAACACCATCGATCTCGTGGGTCGTATCGCCGATCGCGGACCCGAAGCGGTCAACGCCCGCGAGTGGATGCGTATCTGCTTCGAGCTGCTCGACATGTTGAAGGCCCACAAAAAGGGTATTCGCCGTGCTGCCAACAACACGTTCGGTTTCATTGCGAAAGCCATCGGCCCGCAGGATGTTCTGGCCACCCTCCTGAACAACCTTCGCGTGCAGGAGCGCCAGTCTCGTGTGTGTACAGCCGTCGCCATCGGTATCGTCGCAGAGACATGCGCCCCGTTCACCGTCCTTCCGGCACTGATGAACGAATACCGTGTGCCAGAGCTGAACGTGCAAAACGGTGTGCTAAAGGCCATGTCTTTCCTGTTCGAGTACATCGGCGAGATGGCCAAGGACTACGTCTACGCGGTGACGCCCCTACTCGAGGACGCGCTCATCGACCGGGACCAAGTGCACCGGCAGACAGCCGCCAGCGTAGTCAAGCACGTCGCGCTAGGCGTGGTCGGCCTCGGCTGCGAAGACGCCATGGTGCATCTCCTCAACCTGGTCTTCCCCAACATCTTCGAAACCAGTCCACACGTGATCGACCGGGTGATCGAAGCCATCGACGCGATCCGCATGGCTGTCGGCACCGGCGTCGTGATGAACTACGTCTGGGCGGGCCTGTTCCACCCGGCGCGCAAGGTGCGCACGCCGTACTGGCGACTGTACAACGACGCGTACGTGCAGAGTGCGGACTCGATGATTCCCTACTACCCCAACTTAGACGACGACGGATTGGCGCGCTATGAGTTGGCGATCATTGTATGAACAAAAGCTCGTCGTTTGGATGTACTTTCTATTGCACTTGTTTCTTTCTTTGCTACTGTTTCTAGCATTCGCTTGGGCGGTTTTGATTTGCGACGGTGTTTCGTTGCTGGCGGGTTGGGACATGTATCTAATTAGGAGCGGATAGTAATGGTTTCTCCATTGAACACTTCTTCAGTTAAATCTCCTGAGATTGGTGGGCATAGATTCGCTTGTCGATGAAGTATATATCTGTATAACCAAACCACGAGAACGCCTTATATACAAACTAAACATCGAGATAATAGAGAAGATGTCATAACGCA